AGTAGCTCAGACCGCGAAAGGGCATCATAGTCATTGTAATCAGTTTTTAATTATATTTGAAGCATGAGACATGTAAAATCACAAGGGAAAAGCCGACTAACATTTCAGATAAAATGTATCATGTGAAAGATCTACTATAGATTTGAACTATAGACTGAAACCAATATCTCTATGTTTGCAATGTGAGAATCTGTGCGATAACCCTGTGGTAGCAGAATCCGTGGTCGACGAAGTGATCCTTTCGTCAACCACAATAAAATCTAAGGATTTCAATCATGTATTGAAAGAATTGTTTTCAATGAATTAATATAATTAATTTAAAAATCTGTACCTTACGAAGCTTATTCTAATCAGTAGGGTCTTAGGGAAATTTATTGAATTACGAAAGTTAATTGAAAGCTCATTTGTCGAATTCGATTAATAATCAATGGGATGTGGGTATGTATATATATTAGAATTATCCAAAATTTCTGTTTATATAGTACATTATGTATTGTATAGTATAGTGGTAAAGCTTCTGATTGAAGAATAAATCGAAAGTGAGGAGGGGGTGAATACACCCCCCTTTGAACATTCGGCGAATGCCTTTGACTCTCTCACTCGTTCCCCCTTCCTCCTAGCTCCTACACTTGCTCTCTTTCGTTCACCTTTCCTGCAACTCTAATCTTCAAAGATCTCGAAATCTCTAAGGCTTTTCTTAGGGCCTTATTTTCTTTTTATTTATTAAAATTCAATGATAAATGGGTTGCAAAAAGTGTTGATTCTATTTGTTATTGATGATCTACTTTATTCGTCATTAATGAATTTATTATTAATATTGTAATATATATTTAAAAAATTTGTATGGGGATTTATATTAAGTTTTTCTTCATCTCGAATATTCACTTTGTTATCACAGGGTAACCAGAATTCGATTTTCTATCAACAATATTTTCTATAGTAATAGAATCAATATTCGAAACGAAAAGAAATTCAATATAAATTCCTATACAAATTTTCTATATATATTATAATATTAATGATGTATTTGTAATTAATGAAATGCTTATTTTGTTTGTGATAAATAAAATTGATATTTTTTATAACCCTTTTATTATTGAATTTCAATAAATAAAAAGAAAATATAGGGTTTAGAACTTTAGTATTTAGAGTTATAGGGGAAATGAATGGAGGGGAATGAGTGTAAGAGTCAAAAAGAGTAGGGAAGCGAGTGTAGGAGTTAGAAGGAAGGGGAGGGGAATAAGCGGGGGATCTAAAGGTATTAGTCGAAAGTTCAAAGGGGGGGGGGTGGATTAGATCCACCATTTCAAACTCGATGCTCTGTTCTGTTTCAAAGCCTCACCACGCGAGCAAGCGAAATCACGTGCTTACGTACGTACTTAGCTCGAGCTCGGTACATTTTTAAAGGCCCCGCACACAAAAGGCTGTTTGTCAGCCTCGTGTCTCATACAATTGCATCAACTCCCCAAGAATGTTCTGGTCTGCAGATGGTGAACTTAAACACTTCTGAAATAGATGGATCCAACAGTTCTTAAGACAAGAAATGAAATATTTCAGGAGGTAAAAATCGTTGCTGCATCTCTTGTTACAATACTGACATCATGGAACAGCTCAAACCATACTGTGTTAACTTGAGCCAGTTGGCACTGAAGAATGCTGGCGACAGCAACTCTCTAATATCTTCGACGGAAAACCTTCTTGGCGCATTGCGGCGAACGTGTGATAATGAAGCTTTCGACGAGAAGCTGGCAGATTGTACGTTTCTGGAATTTCGGTCGAAGAATCACGCAATGACTGACCATCAGCGTGTTACTAGATGTCTTCTTCCCATTATCTCAGATCTTGCGTTCGAAGCAAAAGTATACGGACAAACTGTCGGAACTTACTCTGAAATGTTTAAGGCTACTACTGGAACAAGGATGGCGAAACCATATTGCAATAGATCTTGCCAAACAACTTCTGATCCTGCTGACGTTGATGATCGGAGGAGTACCGGGACAAGCTCCAATAAAAGCCCCAGAAGAACTCGCTTTTGAAGCTCTGGCTGCCCTTGCAGCTTTATTTGACGACTTGGCACGTGTTCCAGAGGGATCCGTTACAATCACTAACGAGACCACCACGCCAGCCGTTGGACACTGTATTACATCGATACTCGATGCAATTACGAATGGCCCATCAACAGAGATCCAGTCAGAAGGGCTGCGTGCCTTGAAAGCTGCATGGAACTGCATCAAAGATGTACAAGTTCATGCTAGTTTCCTTCCAGGCACAGTCTCAGCCCTCACGAAATGCCTTACGCCCACTACAACATTTCGAAGATCACAGAAAACTATTGTCATGGCATTAGAAAGTCTACTACTGGTTTTAACCACTGTATTGAGTGATGTCAAGACTCGTACTATCAGGGCAAGCAGGAATACATTGATGGAAGTGGAAGGCAAGCGCGAAAATGACATGCTTACGAAATCCTGGCTCACTGCCACCACTTCTCAGATAAAGCTCTCCCTAGCAAACGTCGTAAAGTTGCGTACACACAATTCTAATAGTGTACGCGTCTCACTTAATCGATTTTGCATCGTTTTACTGGATGAATGCCATGATACATTGGCTGATTCGAATTCTATTTTGGTGGAGACCTGTTTGTCATTATTCGGCGCAGAAGATCCTCTTGATGCTAGCACAACTTCTATTGTAGACTTGGCCACTATTCATTCAAGCATCGGCGAGTCAATAAAAAAAACGTGTTATAACTGGGTAACCAGCTTGCCACGAGTGATGCAGATGAACGATGAGACCGCCAAGGTATCCGCACTGCACCAACTTTCAGCGTCATACAAATTATTGAGCAAATTGGATCTGGGCTCTTCCATACTTGACGAAGCACTTCCAAGATCGCTACGAGACGGTCTGTCCAGTGTTATAGAGACCTCTTCTCACCCTCGGGCCATGCAAGAGGTTTTATCAGACCCGAATAGTCAGGCTCTGATGACGTTGTCAAGTGAACAGATGCTCTTAAGGGATTTCCCTCCCATACTGATGCCCGAAGAAAGTCAAAAGGCTACAAGAATCGCTATGGTAGCATTTCTAAGGTCGTTGAATGATTCGCAACCACACTTGACCATGGCCAGCGAGATGCTTGACTATGCACGGCAAGCATCTGGTCCAAGTCTCTTGGCTGCCTACTGGATCTCATCCCAATTGATACAGATGGCTGTTTCTCAAAACGAGGAAATGAATGAGTTTTTCGAATCGACACTCCTTGCTTCGGACGACTCTCAAGCCACGAACCATGATCTATATTCTTACTCAATATCAGTTTTGTCTAGTGAAGACCATAATCTCGACTGGCGAGTGAAAGGGATCGCGCTGGAGATCGTGTCTAATTCGGCCAAGCGCTTGAGGGAAGACTTTCGAGCAGAGCTCGTGGATATACTATACCCCGTGTCGCAGCTTTTAGGTTCGACCAGTGGTGATTTAAGAGGGCGCGCAATTGTCTGTCTTAACATACTTGCACAAGCTTGCGGATGCCCAAGCACCCGAGAACTTATCGTGGAGAACGTTGATTACATGGTGAACGCAATTTCGTTGAGATTGAACACATTTGACATATCACCCCAGACCCCGCAAGTGCTAATAATGATGATTCGGTTGACGGGACCATCTCTACTTTTATATCTCGACGATGTGGTTTCTTCTATATTTGCCGCTTTGGATAATTTCCATGGCTACCAGGGATTGGTAGAAGGTCTATTTGCCGTACTCGGAGAGATTGTGGAGACGGGCTCACATTCTGGCCATTTGCGATTACGCGGCGCACCACATGTTGATGTCATCCAACGTGGAACTCGTACCATTACAGTTGACAGTATTGTTCAGGCAATCGAAAAGCAGCAGGAACGACTCAAGAAGCAAGAGAATATCGGATCTGATGGGTTCCCACGAGAGCCGTGGAAAAGCGCCTCTGCATTATTGGACGACATGGCCGAGGTTGGTGAAAGCAAGGAAGATAACAATGTCGAAAAAGAAAAGATTCCCGTTACAAAAACCTATACCATGATCGAGAGCATTATCCGCCTCTGTCAGCACTATCTGACAAATCCATCCCCGACATTACGTACGCGATTGCTCGGATTGATACGCACATCCTCTGCTGCTCTACAAAGCGACGAGGAAAACTTCTTGCCTCTTGTTAATGATATATGGCCTGTAGTCATAGATCGATTATATGATAAGGAATCACATGTTGCCATCGCAGCTGCAGACTCCATCGCAGCTATCTGCAGAAGTGCTGGAAATTTTCTCAACACGAGAATTGCTGCGCAGTGGCCCCGCTTGATTGTATTGGCTAGGCAGACCAGGGATAATATGTTGGTGGAGAAGACTGGATCTGGTGGTCGTGGAATACACTCACAGGCTGCACAGATGTGGGATAGTGTAGTGAAGCTTTTGATGGCCATAGTGGAATGCACCGGGGTGAACGATGACGCATTCGATGATGTTTTGTATCTTCTGGCAAGAATCATACCGGATAGAAGCGACGTTCGTGATGTGTTGTCAGCCGTGAATGCTGATGCAGTCTGGTTAGTATTACAGTCTGGTTTGAGTCGTGAAATGCAAATACCTTCGCTTGATGGGTACGTGTTTCAGTCCCCTAGACCTCTCATCATATTTTAATGTAATGTAATGATTGTCACAAAACTTACTCACAGTCGCAATTACAATGTCTTGCATTTTCTCACAGAAAGATCTCATGGACACTTGGTGAAGAGTGGAATATATTTGGTTATTAGCAGTGACTGGGACTTTTAAGTGATGCCAAGCAAATTTGAAGACAATAGCAGCCGATAAAAAGAAAAGATCTATGGAATGTATTCATGCTTGAACATAAACCCGTGATACTTTAGATGGCATAAAGGCCTAACAATGATACTATTTAAGACAAAACTTCAGAAATAAAATAAAACACTTCGTGCGGGCTTAATCAAGACACGCCTTGCCTTTTACTCGGAGTCCTCGTCATCGCTCTCAGCCTCTGCCAACCATTTTAAGAACCCTTCTGCTGACTTGCGAACTTTCTTGCTCACAGCAAGGTCATTGGTATATTTCTTGCTGGCTTTAGTACCCCACTTAGTGATGACCTCTTCGCTGAGGAGTTCTTGATCATATAGGACCATGAGGATATTTGATGTCTTCTCGTAGAATTCGGAGTTTTTTTGACCGCGGAGGCCAATAAATCTTTCAATTCCACCGAGGAGAGATTTTTCATGTTTCTCAGAGGTGACCATCTACAAAAAGATTAGTATTAGGGGGAGATAATCAGGATATGTGTACGCAAGCTTACATTTTTAAGCATGCCTACTCGCTTTGGAATCTGCTTCACAATGTTGTCATCGAAGAGTGTAAGAGCAAGAATGACGAGAGTGCGGTGCTTCGCCTCGATTCCAAGCTCTTTCGCCTTAAGATAAATTTGAAGATCATCTACCTTACTGACGTCACCTTTCTCTGCGGTCTGCTCTTCAATCCAGTTTGCAAGTTGATCGTAGGTAGAGTTTCCGCCACCTTCTTCATCATCATCCTCGTCCCCACCACCGCCACCTAAGACGAGCTTTTGCTTAAGATCGTCAGGGAGCTGTTGCTGACGGGCCTTAACAGCTTCTGGGGACATGTCTACTGCCCAGTCGTCATCTTTGACTTCAGTAGATTGTTGAAGTTCTTCTGCTTGACGAACAAGCTCATCGTCGCTTGGAGCATCGAGTGCCAGGTCACCGGCGCCATTGTTGTCATTGGATCCGTTTTCAGATGCGTTCTCGCTACCACTAGCATTTTCGTTGTCCTTGGCTTCGCCCTTGTCTGCTTTGGCTTTGCGAGCTGCCTTCTTTTCTGCTTTGTCTTTCTTGCCCTTCTTTGGCTGAGTCTTCAGGATGAAGCCGCTCAACTTAAGTCTAGGGTCGACCATCGAACGCTTGCCGCATGCCTTACAATCCAAGACGATGTTCCCATCTTTGAAGATTACTTCGGTTTCAGGGTTCTTGCACTCTTTGCAGAGCACAAACTTATTGATGAAACCATCCAGGTAATCCTGCAATTTGCTTGCTTCATGAGCACCATTGATGATCCAACGATCATCGGCAGGGTTGGTATTGGTTTGAGCCCCGAGTTCGAAGCCGAAATATTTGATGACATATGCCCCTGGGCGGGCCAATGAGTTGGCGATGCTGGTGAGATTGACGATGACGGTTTTGATGCCGTTACCCTTTCCTTCAATTTTAGACTGGATCTTCTCCATCTTGTATCTGTAGAAGTTGTCCTTGACATCGCGGCGGATATTGACGGTAGCCATGATTGCTAATAGGTAGTGTTGAGTTGAATTGTGTATTTTCGTGAAGTTAAAGGCGTGCAGGTATTGTTTAGATAATGCGATAATCTGAAATATAACATGCAGAAAAGTTGAACTTGTTGAAATGGCAAAGTCGGTTGAGGTTGGTTAAATTTGGTTGGTGGTTACGGGAACATTCGAATCGTAGAGGATGATGCTTAGCCGTTGCTACTGAAGTATGAACTACAAGGTTTCCGCGGTATGCGAAATGGTTGCAGCTCGAGGGGCGGCTGATGTCTGAGGTCGTTGGCGTTGGGTGTGAGATACATATAACGCAAATGTATCGCTGTACGTGCTGAAAGCTTTGGGTGAAGAATTCAAGGGAAGAAAATCCTTGTTGGCAAAGATGGAGTATCTATCAGATACTAAAAGATGCAACCTGTAGAGATTTGAAGTCCGAAGATTGGATATCCGAAAAGTACAAGAGCGGAAAGCAAAAGTGATTGCTTAACGTATTCTTGAACAACCTAGATTTGCGAGGTATGGGATTTGTTTGAATCCGACGATTCTGGGATAGATGGGACCGTAGAAGGCTGGACCTTTTTAAATAGAATTTATTCTACCGAAAGAATCTCCAATACAAAACTGTTATTTATTGTATTGTTGATGGAATTATTGTTTGTTGTGTTGCGTTTGTTTGGTAGAAGGCAAAGAAAGAGGAAGGTTGTGGAGGGGAAAAGAAAGTTTGAAAGAATTTCCAAATAAAAGGCTTCGGATATCGATGGTGGAAATGGTAAGCCCTTGTCAACTAGAGAAAAAAAATGGAGCTAGGAAGGAGGAATACAATAATACAGTTACAGCAAAGTAATCCTGACTAGGTGAGTATCAATGTAAAATTAATTGTGACTCATGAATTATGAATTATTTGTTAAACTTGCTATATGTAGTAAATATCATGACATTTGCATTCATCAAATATATATATAACTTATAGAATTTTACAAATTGATGATCTCAAAGCCAACTTCAATTGTTCGTACTTAAGAATTACTCAGAAATTATATGGAGGAAGAACTACCTACACGTGCCGCATCTAAGCATATGATTCATTGATACCTATGCTTCACATCTACCCAGTAGTATTCATTTCCATTTTTAGCCAACCAAAGATCTTCTTCCTTCCTTCTTCCTGTTATTCCTTCCTTCCTGGGTACTGATATCCCTATCCCTATCCCTAACTTCGTACTTATTCATTCCTGACTCTATTCTCCCAAAATGGATCAAAAAAATGTTGATTACTCTCTTTACCTTGTGACAGATTCTACACCTACTATACTTGGTGATAGAATTCTTGTTGATGTGGTGGATGCTGCAGTCCGTGGTGGTGTCACGATTGTGCAATATCGAGACAAATACAGCGATACAGCGGCCCTGGTTGATACTGCGAGGAAGTTACATGCTGTCACACAAAAGTACAATGTTCCACTTTTGATCAATGATCGAATCGATGTTGCTCTTGCAGTTGCCTGTGAAGGTGTCCACATTGGTCAGGATGATATGGGTTAGATCCTCTGTCACGAATAAAGTGATAATGCCATTGATTCCTCATGTCTCTAACTTTGATCCAGATCTGAAGACGGCAAGAGCACTGTTGGGCAAGGATGCAATTATCGGAGTAACAGTGGCCAATGTCCAAGAAGCTTTGACAGCATCTAAAGATGGTGCAGATTATCTAGGAATTGGCACAATGTTTGCCACACCAACGTAAGAACAGCACGGCAATACGACCTTGAGTTTTAGATTCGAGAGCTATAAGAGATCGAGTGGTACCTTTGTGCCAGCATAGATTTACAATGCGTAACCTTGTTTAATGGGAACAGAATCTCAATTCAATCTTCATACCTAATCTATTTGCTTAAATCAATGAAAAGTATTCTGATGGATTTCGAAATAGGAAAACCAACACCAAGGATATTATTGGAACCGCAGGCACGAAGGAAGTTCTGCATTCTTTGGAACAGTCAGGAAGCCAAGTGCGAACCGTAGCAATAGGTGGCATCAATTCCTCAAATCTACAGCGTGTCCTGTATCAGTCGGCATCAGAGGGCAAGCAGCTTGACGGGGTGGCCATCGTCAGTGCAATCATAGCAGCCCAAGATGCTGAAAAGGCTGCCCGCGAGCTTGCAGAACTTATACGGACCCCGGCTCCGTTTGCTCTAGCACACTTGCCGCATGATCAAAAAATAAAAGACCTTCGCGAAGTTTTGTTACAGGTTCCAGGTATTATAGGAGATGTTGCTAAGCAGACGCCTCTATCTCATAACATGACAAATCTCGTGGTTCAAAACTTTGCTGCTAATGTGGCTCTCGCAATTGGTGCCAGCCCTATCATGGCAAATTATGGAGAGGAAGCGGCAGATCTTGCGAAACTTGGAGGAGGTTTGGTTATTAACATGGGAACGGTCACCCCGGAAGGTATACAGAATTACTCAAAGGCTCTAAGAGCATACAATAACGCAGGAGGACCAATTGTGCTCGATCCAGTGGGCTGCGGAGCTACTGCTGTAAGGCGGTCAGCAGTTAAATCACTTTTAGCAAATGGTTACTTCGATGTCATCAAAGGAAACGAGGGAGAAATCAAGACTGTATTCGGATCACTTATTCAGCAACGAGGCGTTGACAGCGGCTCAAGTACATCGAGTCTTGCGGAGAAAGCTACAATCGTACGTGATTTAGCATTGAGGGAGCGCAATGTAGTACTCATGACCGGGGCGGTTGATCTTTTGAGCGACGGAGTACGTACCTTTGCAATATCCAATGGACATGAAATCTTGGGCAGAATCACGGGAAGTGGTTGTGTTTTGGGTACTATCATCTCAGCAATGTTGGCAGTCAGTCGTGGAGATAAGCTTCTCGCTGTTCTTTCGGCATTGCTTCACTACGAGATTGCAGCCGAGGTTGCAGCTGTTCGAGATGATGTGAGAGGTCCAGGCACATTTGTTCCAGCGCTGATTGATGAACTTTATGTTATACAAAAGGCAAACTCTCAGAATGATTTGCGGTGGCTTGAAAGAGCGAGAGTTGAAACCTTTGTGTGGTAATATTCTCTTTAAAAAAATCATAAGACTGTGTTCCCGTAGATCTAAAGCCCTGTGCACCTGACTTTCTCAGAGCCACACTAAAAGCCCCTTGATCCGGGACGAAGTGCCAATCGCGCTTCGTTCCCTTAGCTCCACATCCTCGGCTTACATACCCCACTTACCCCAGAAAACGCAATAACACTCCAACAAGTAAACAAATCCTTCACATTGCAAAGATGATAGAACATGTAGGAAAACGTCTGAGTAAGTTCCGTCCCTCACTTCTAGCTACCCAATACTTACGCAACTCAGCCAGACCTGCCCTCTTGTTTGTTCCCTATTCTCCAATCACTCTTGATCCCCACTCCCTTTGAATCCCTCCACTAACCCCCCCTTTCCAAAAGTATTTGCGACATCCAAGAAAAGTTTCGAAAAGCGATATGGGAATATGAGAAAGTGTGCGTTCATCCAGATTCCCTAATCTATAGATCCTATCACTCACTTCTCACCTCAGCATCGCGACAACTCAAAAGTTGATCAAAGCAAGTGATATACTTCATATTCCCATCTATGCTACCACACAGAATCGCGCACGACTAGGTGAAACGTGCGCTGAGCTTAGCATCCCCAATGCCGTTGAGCATGCAGATAAAACGGCTTTTAGCATGGTATGTGAATTCTACAATAATCATATATGGACCTTGCATTGTGAGCTTTTGCGTCGATATCGTCCTTCCATGACGTGAAAAGATATCGTTGGTGACTAACTCATGATTCCAACCCAGTGGATTCCATCGATTTCTCGACATTTCCATTCTGCTACCCCAGCCGAAGTGATTATCGTAGGCATTGAATCGCACATCTGTGTTACACAAACGACGTTGGATTTGCTAGCCAATGGGCACAAAGTGAGTGCACTTGGTGATCACAACACAGGGGACCTAACAACTCGCATAGGTATATGTATTAGCCGACGGAGTGAGTAGCTGCAACCCGCAAGAAATACCTATAGCTCTTGATCGGCTGAGGGCTGCTGGTGCTATTGTGACAACCTCGGAGTCGATCATGTATGAGATTATGGGTGATGCTAGGTATGCACCTTTTTTGTTTCTTTGTAATATATTATAAATGAAGCCAAGCTAACTCCTCTAGTATTCCCGAGTAAGTGATATGACCTGTTCCTCGGCCTGTGATGTGATTATTGGATTTTTATTGATGCCTCTTTTCGTAGGTTCAAAGCAATTGCTACTCTGGTGAAGGAATCTTCAGCGAGTACAAAGGATGTCATGAGTACTCTTCTCAGTAAGATGTGAAAGGGGTTTCGAGAGATTGCAAACATAGCATCAATAATTTAAGATGTGATATAATTTAAATTTGATTATCTGAGCACTAAGTAGTCAAGTACATAACAATTGTTTCGCATCATTTTGCTCGCAACACGTGCCTATTTAATTACACATCAGGAGTCTGTGGGGGCGACAGAAACCTTCGGCTTGCTGGAGTTCATCCATGCGAAAGCTGAAGCACCGCCTACTGGATTTGAGGATCGCGGAATGGTTGTGATCACTTTAGCACTCTTCTGATCCTCTGAACTTACTCTCTTTGGTTCCCAACGAAGCTGTGATTTATCAGTCCCATTGGGTTGATCCTTGCGTTTGAGATCAGCCATTGATCTTGCAGGTGCCGGTTCGTAAGATACACCTGTTCTCGCCCCAGACGATGAACGACTAGCAGCTAGATTTGTCGGAGACGAAATGGATTTTGATGGTTTTAGCACCTTCATACTTCGACCTCCGCGAACTGCTCTTTGATACCCACTCGTAGAATCACTATTGTGATCAGCATTCAGTGGTGTACTGCCTTGCCGCCATGAACCCCAAGTCCCTATAGAAGTTTCACGTTTGAGCGCATCAGCTGCATTCGTGGACTCGACTTTGTTTGCATCTGCCACGCCCTGGTCCGATTTGTGTAAATTTTCCGAGTCTGAAGTATTACCACTTCTCTTCGTATAAATCTCAGCTTCCGATATGGGGGGAGTACTGTGAACAGGCGATGAAGACGTGGCGGCAGAGCTAGTTTGTGGGTTTGTAACACTTTCAGATTGGTCATCTTTGTCTGTGGGCTTGACATGATCAGCACGTGACCCATCAACTACATCACCTGCGTTCGTAGGTTCAATCTTGGATCGCTGTTCACTGGGTGTAAAAGGAAGAGCCGTTGCTTTGAGTTCATTTCTTTCAGGTAGGATATTTGCGGTGCACAAATTCTTGAAGAGAAGTTCATCTTCCGGTCGCACGAATGGCACAGACAGTTTATTACGATCATCGCCGAAGAGTGTCATGAGGTTTTGCGAGAAGAGTATATCCGCGTTGTGCGCACGTAGAGTATCACTACCAATAAATACACGTATTGATCTTTTAAGATCGGTAAAGGGTCGTTGATTCATGCCAATTACCTCGAAATCTGCTGTGAGAGTCGGTAAATGAGGGCCGGGACTATTGACTCTAGAAAACGATTGTGTTATAATTGCTTCCGGAAGATACACAGGGAGTCTGATAACGTAACGTCCATTTGTTGGATCCTTTTGCATTTGATTTATTAGGCCAAGCTCTTTTACAAGCGAATAGTCAAGGATCGATTTTTGTGAACCTGTACAAATATCGGCATATAGGAGTGCACTGTGAGAAAAGTTGACCGTAAGCCAGCATCTGATGATTGAAGGTACTGAGCCCAGAATAAACAGACCTGGAGGAGGGTCCGGTATTTCCAAGGGTGAATCATCGTCCGGGTTCCCGATCATAAAATTGGTATCCAAGCCTAGGCTGCTTGTACGTCCAGAGGGAACAGAATGGGTGGAGTGGACAGAGTGACCAGCAGAGCTATGCCTTCCGTCTGACTTATGCGATGAGGAACGCTCAGTCATAGGATGACTGCCAAATCCACTAGTCGGGCGAGCGGGACCAAACTCTCCTGACGCCCTTGATGCTTGTGCCCAATGTGACCCCTGTAGAGCGCTCACGTCGAAGCGTACACTGTTAGCTCTCGAAGTACCTCTACGCACTGGCTCCTCGTCGTTGTCTAGATGGAGACTCCCAAGTAAATTATGCTCTTCTTCGTCATCAAAGTCATCGAAAACATCCGTGGGAGAGTTGTGAACAGGGCCTATAATTCAGTATGTTAGTATTTTAACCCGCCTTGTGAGGATCAAGTCTAGCACATACCTTGTTGAGGAGTACCGCTCAAAACACCAGGAAATGGCGAATTTGTACCCCAAACAGATTTGAGAGCGGCATCGTCCGCTTGGCGCTTCTCCAGTCTCATGAGGCGGTCGGAATGGTTGATTTGTACGGCTTGTACATGCTTCACGTCCATTTGAACATGATATAGTTCTTCTCGTGAAGCCGGGAACTGTGAATCCATTCCAATCCTTTCCTTGTAACCCCCAGGGAAGTTGTGTTTTCAAGTCTCACACTTGATGGCATGGGAGTAATTTTAAAGGAAATCGACCAATGAGGGCCACCGCAACAATGCCGTGCAATTATCCCCAGACGCTCGTAATTTATCGTCTGATGAGAGAGATTGTTCCAATCCAACCGAGGAATATCACGAAATGTTTAGCACCTGGCCAACTGTGGAAATTTGGAGGAAATTTCAGCTCTTGTATCTTGTGCTTAATGCCAACGAAGTACACAACCGCTCTTTGTGAGCCTCCCCCACGGCATCGGCCGACGATTTGATATTTGAGACACCCTCCTGCCTATATGATCGATGAATACCTGATCTCGCAGATTTTGTTTTGGAACGGAATTGGCTCTGAAATGTGGACGAAGGTTCTTTGAATATTGTCGTGTCTAGCTGTTCTTTGAGAGTCGTGCAAGTATCAAATGAGGAATGTAATGGTGGTTTGCTTCGTTGCAAGTCTGTGCTTCCTGGGATTATTGTTTGATTCGCAAGATGGTGTCGTATAGGTTGAACTGAAGGAGATCGAAGAGCTTCCCAGCAATTACGTTTATTGTTTGCCTTTTCGCAGATAATTTGTCGTTTGCTTGTTGTATGTCGTTGCTTTGCTCTTTGAGGAAGATTGGGATCGCAGTGGGGGTAAAGTAAATACTAGATGTGCAGTAAATCGATTTGAGTTTGCCTTTTGAAAATGTTTAGAAAAGTAGTAGGTAGTATCAAAGCTGATTATTATGAAGTTGGTATATTGTATGTTGTGTATTAGGAGGTCAAATTATCAATCAATAACAAGTTGTTGAGTGTGATTCGGGTTTGGATCAAAGGATGTCATTAATCGCTCTGGCGGTAGCGTAGCTGGTAGGGTCCTTTAATTTGGTTGCGGTAACCCTATAAAATCACAAGGATAACTAACCTTAAGTGGTATTCATGCATTTTCGGCGCTAAGTGCCCTGACAGTCTAATACATGTTATACAAAGGTATTCCACAAGCAATATGAGCTACACACAATGGGGACTTCTAACCCAAGGCATTCCAAAGATTAAATTTCGACAATCACCTAGTAGGTGGCTAACAATTATCCTGGATACTGGCTCTCAGCTGACTTCGTGATTGAAGCTTCTGCAATTCTTTTGACTAATATAGGCATGCTAAGTTACTTTCGTTGTTCCTTTGATTTTTTGAACGCCTTTCCGTGAAGCGAATCCTCCCTCAATCAATCTATACTTAATAAATAGGTGAGCTGTCTCTATCAGATCTAAGGAATCTAGAAGTCTTCCTTGCATGTATATTCTGTCATAGAGAAGACCGCCTACACACCTTTCTATACACTATTGTCATGCATGCATTCCGTTTAATGACTGAATTTAGGAGCTACTGTCCACTGTTATCATATTGTTAGCCTTATCAACACTATATCTTGAGGGAATGTTATATAGCCTCCTAGAGAACACATCTAGGAGCTAGAAGAGAACACAAACGGTATACTTACGTGTGGAAATACCCAGCTGGGGCTATCCAAGGGCTCTTCTTTCCACTCTTTTCCAACCAATGGTATGACTTCGTTCAAGAATACTCTGTATCCGTCACTAGAAAGATGAAGACCGTCGGTGAGAAGTGCCCTCATAGCCTTATCATCCCCAGCACGTTTGGTGCCAATAGTTTCTAGGCTGCCAGTATTATCTGGACTCAACTCTACTGCTTTAATCAAAATAGCCTTCCATAGATCGACCAATACCACGTTTTGATCTTTCCATCCATCGGCGATTTCTCTAACTGCAGCTGCATATTTGGCTGTGTTATCCTGTGACCGCGTGAGAGAAGAATACCCCTTCTGGAGGTCTTGTTCCTCAAGCTGAACTTCGTTGATAGGCGGTGGTGTAACTAGTAAAATCGTGGGGCGTTGTGCTATGGAACTCCAATTTTTGAGCAGGATCTCAATGTTTTTCTTGTAATTTTCCAATGGAACATGTTGACCCGTGGGACCATCCGGTAGACATGCATCATTCGCACCGAACAGGACGAGCTTACAGCACATTCTATTAGTATACAGAGAAATGGCCTAAGGATAGCCTCGCACCAATAACGACGAGGCTTGAAGGGGAGTATCTATCAAGGAACGAGTCCTACATGGCAGTTTTTGACGTACCAGATAGGGAACCTTTGCAGTGGTTGGATCTGGGACGAGGTGCTGATGAATCTCAAGAGCATTATCGGTATTATACCCGCTCAACCCATGGTTTATTATCTGGAGCCGCCTAGAGCAGTCTAAAAATGGGTTAATGAGTGACCAGATGGTTCTAGTTTGGAGCAGTGAACTCACGTTCTTCAAGACCCGCAGTAAAGGAAAAGCCATCCCGCAGATGACTTGAGAATTGAACAATGGAATCGCCCAATAGAATAAATTGGGGGTACCCTTTGAAAGCCATGTCAAATGTCGTACGGCAGACGTTAACTAATGTTTAGGTGAGAGGGGTTTCTTTTTCTATCCCTATTAATTCATAGCCGCATCGGCTAGTTTCAACACGCGATAGCGGGAATGCAGTAATGCAGCAGTGCAGCAATAGGAAGCCAGGGAAGAAGACGAAAAGCGATATGCAGTTCACGAAACAATCTTGAGAAACGGACTGTCTACAGAGGTAGTATTCAGTCAGTTGTAAGAATCGAAACAAACACCAATAGAAATTAAAAGCCTCAAATGCACCCTGACAGATCTGTAGTCTCTCCTCAATTGATGTAATGTGCGTGCGATGTACGAAGTGGACAATTCTGGATATTTTGTGGAGCTTAAGTACTAGATAGGTAGTACTTTGTAGCTCTCTGAATTACTAGTGGGACGGGATGGGATGGATGATGGATGATGGATGATGGGCTCATGGATTTTGACGCGATATTCGCGGGAGTTGTATTGCGAGATTGCCTACTTTGTACGCTCAGCTATCATGTTACCCTGTAGATTTCATCCCCACAGGTTAGCTCTTTCATCAATCGTATCTCATGGAGTATGGATTTTCCAGAAAGTCATACTGACGACCCAGTAGGCCCTCTCAGCTAGCTATCGACTATTGGGTGTCTCGGTGCGGACGGAATGGTATGCACACCCAAATCGAATATCCTCTACTTTTCCGATGTCATGAGTGACACTTCCTTTTTGATGCTGATGCCGACCGATGCTGATGTTACTGCCATCTGCTACCTACTATGATCCATCTCGTAAGTATCGGTAGTTCACGAGTCATTGTAAGTATTGAATGTTTTATAACTCATCATGCTGATTGGCTAGATCCCGAAGAGAGGTTATCATCAACTTGCTTTATGGCTTGCGGAATATAAATTGTAGATCATAAGGAATGAATGCACTCATGCACTCACTCGTATGTTTCACAGCACTTGTGACTTTCAAGACGGCTTCCAAGAAAGCTGTATTACCTAATAAAGTATTTACCTAGTTGGTACCTAGTACGATTACTAGGTAGCACCGAGGCACCTTCTCATTTTCATGAAGCTTATCGAGCCTTATCGAGGCTATCCTGCCCTGCCTCGAGCCTGCATTGCAAAAGCTATCTTAAGCGCATTAACCGTATCATTTCCCATAATTATTCCAAACTTCAAACTCCAACTCCCACTTCTGCCTCTTGGTTCCGCAATTAACCATCAGAATGCGTCTTTGACATTGATCTTCTCATCTTTTCATGTTTGCTTGCTTGTGTTCATTGTTTCCCGTCAGACTTTTGGCCCAGGAGTTTCTATTCTTGCACATCGCACCTACACCGATTTGATCATTGAATATTACGACATTATTACATCAAAAGCAAACTGCAGCAGGAAAGTCCGACCGCTCAATATTAATATCAATTCCAAACTTCCAAACAATAAATTCCAGGGTTCAACTAGCCTCGAAGACCCTTGTTTCTCCTCCACATTTCATTTGATGCTTCTTGATTCCGCATTTGCTCCAATTCCCGATCTCTAAAAGTCAAAGCCACTTCCAACGCCAACACTCCAACTTCCTACTTGAATCCCAAGAAAATTTCCAGTCTTCGTCAAATAGTGTTGCGGGTGATAATATTGAGAAGCGATCTTCTGTACATCTTCAGCTTCTTATTTATCATTGCCTCTTGCCCTTCTTTCGCAGTTGCATATCGTATCTCCCGCTCTTGCATGCGAGCTTTCAGATTCCTGCCGTTGTGTACCGTGTCGTCATTCCAGAACGTCTATCTTCATGAGATGTGTTAGGTGACACACCGAGACATTTCCGATATGAAACCTTCTAGCAAGAGCCACATTGGCGTCGACTTTACAATGTCGTCGAATGTTCCACCTGAATCGAGGGACTCGTCAGCTCCACCTTCACCTACAGCCATGAGAACTCTTCAAAGATCAACAAGTAATCTTTCCGACGAGCGAACTCCTCTACTACAAAGTGCCGGGCGTTCTCGTATACGTCTCGGTGGCGCCGCGGAGATCAACCGCCCATATCTACCAAGTCATCATAGTTTCTCTGGCAAGTCTTCCGTCTTACCACTGTTTATCAAGCTTCAGCTTTCTCCCATAGTACTGAGCATGGGGCTAATTGTATATAATTAACAGGTAGTTTAAGAGGTAGTCGGCATCATAGCCGTGCCGGATCTTGGGGCCAGCGTTTAGTCACTGCATTAACTTCAGAAAGACATGGACCCAAGGACCAGATGCGAGAATCCAAAAACATGTCGACCACAGACGATAGAGTTTGGTATGATCAATTTACTTCAACAGATTGGGTTCATGACAGTATTGCAGATGCATACCGAGTGAAGGGACTCCGAAGTAGGAAAGATTTTCGAGGTCGAATCAAGGCGTTTTTTGATGGCACACAAGGTTGGATACTGAGTGCCCTAGTTGGATTCGTGACAGCTACAATAGCATATACCGTTGACGTCTCGGAGACTCCTATTTATGACTGGAAAGATGGTTATTGTCATGATGGATTTTTCATGAGTGAAAAGGTTTGTGCAATTTTCATCGACTCCCTTGATTATTGGATATGACGTTTGAACTTGTCCACCACAGCTTACAAGTCAGATTCGGCGACATTAACGCGATATGTTTTCTGCTTTGAATCACGGGAGAACAAGTAAACTGACTATTGACAGAGATGTTGCCCTGACGGAGACAAATGTGATACTTGGAAATCTTGGTCCAATTATGTCGAAATACCATTTTTCAGTGAGGAGTTAACGGAGTTCTTTATTTACGTTTTACTTGTAGTCGCGTTTGCAACAGCAGCATGTCTTTTGACCTTGACCACCAAAACGGTCGTACCATCAACATATCAACTATCTACGTTGGATGAAAACCTTGGTGCTCTTAGTCGACATGACTCCCAGGCGCCAGTCGATGGTAACACCAGCCCGAAGAACACGCTGGGATCCGAGACGAATGCTCCGATGATCTACTATTCGGCCGCCGGCAGTGGAGTGGCTGAAGTTCGCGTAATTCTTAGCGGTTTTGTTTTGCATGGATTTCTTGGCTTTAAGACTCTACTCGTCAAAACACTCGCTCTGATATTGAGTGTAGCATCTGGGCTAAGTTTGGGAAAGGAGGGCCCTTTTGTACACATTGCAACTTGTGTGGGCAATATCGCATGCCGCTTATTCTCCAAATACGATGACAATGACGGAAAACGCAGAGAAGTATTGTCTGCGGCCGCGGCTGCAGGCGTTGCGGTAGCTTTTGGTGCCCCCATTGGCGGTGTTCTTTTCTCTTTGGAAGAAGTGGCGTACTTTTTCCCAGCTAAAACATTATTTCGAACCTTCTTCTGCTGCATAACAGCTGCACTGACGCTAAAATTTCTCAATCCTTATGGCACCAACAAGATTGTTATGTTCGAAGTTCGCTACTTGACGGACTGGAATTTTTTTGAACTCGCCGCTTTCATCATGGTCGGCGTACTCGGTGGCATAACAGGCGCAACATTCATCAAGGCATCTAGGTCCTGGGCACAGTCTTTCAGGAAGATTGAGATTATAAAGAAGTGGCCTCTTTTTGAGGTCATGCTTGTTGCTCTACTAACGGGTCTCGTCTCCTATTGGAATCCGTATACGAAGATCCCAGTAGCTAAATTGTTGTTCAACTTGGCTAGTCCTTGCGATACTGATAAATCAGATAGCATGGGCCTTTGTCCCAGTAGCATTGATGAGATATTTCCCATCATTGGACAGCTAACTATTGCATTTTTCATTAAAGGTCTATTGACGATTATTACGTTTGGCATCGTAAGTTCAACTGTTACACCTTCTGCACAACTTATTCGTAAGCGAGCACATGGCTATCCACTAATACAATGCCACAGAAAGTTCCTGCAGGTATATATGTTCCATCGATGGTTGTAGGCGGCCTACTCGGCAGGATCGTCGGTCATTTGGTGCAATGGCTTGTGTTGCAATTCCCCCATGCTTCTATATTTGAAAGTTGCGCTGCTCATGAGAGCGGAACATCTTGTATCACTCCCGGTGTTTATGCTCTCATTGCTGCCGGTTCTACAATGTGTGGAGTAACCAGATTATCCGTGACTTTGGCAGTTATTCTCTTTGAATTGACGGGCAGTCTCGATTATGTTTTACCATTTTCCCTCGCTGTTTTGGTCTCAAAATGGACAGCAGATTTCATGGAACCTCTGAGCATATACGTAAGATCATTCAATGATAAGTGTACGGAGGAAAGACTGACTTTTCCAGGATTTATTGACCAACCTCAACGCTTACCCATTTCTTAATAACAAGCATAAGCCGATATTTACCTCCGATCTTGCAGATATTGTGCCCCGTGTTCGGAGAGAAAGAGTTATTGACATCTCAGTCTCCCCCATGATACCTGCTAGCAGCCTGCGCCAGAAGTTAGAGCTTTTGCATCAGGCCGGGGAGGTTGATGGTGGATTGCCAATCATTAGAGACGATGTTCTTGTCGGTCTAATACCGGCCCCCGATCTAGAATTCGCTCTCGATAATCTTGATAATGAGCCAGGTACCTTGTGCCTCATGGCGACCATCAGCAACTATGATGACTCGGATGAAGAAGAGCATGTTGATCCTACTGACTTCACGCCTTACATTGATCCTGTAAGCAAAATTCAACCTCTGTTCATCCTCAAATCCACTGCTGACAAAGAACCAAAACAGGCACCGGTAGCTTTAGATATTCGTTCCCCAATGGATTTGGTCTACGAATGTTTCGTGAAACTCGGCTTGAGATATGTTTGTGTACTGAAAGATGGCCGTTATGCCGGATTGGTAAGAGTTATCCAACCTCCACACACTTAGCGTGCAAGCGACCTGACCATACACAGACCCACAAGAAGACCTTTGTCAAGTACATGCGAGAATTGGAAGAAAGAGATGGGCATAATTGATTTTACTGTTGTATTGCGTTTTAGCGTCGGGAATAGGAATATGCATCAATTGGGTGGCGTCTTGATCTGATTTTGGGGAGTTTGAATATCCAATACCCTGGTGTAATTCATAGAGCAATAGCATCTGAGGTCAATGCCTGTTTTACAGGCCTGTTTGGGAGGTTGAGTCGAAGAAGAGATCATCATAGAGTCTGCCGTACATATTAGACATAATCTTTATCTTCATCATCTTGAATTATCTGCTTTAAGCTCAGCCATGAGTCCTCCTTTATCTCGTTTCTTCGAATCTTCTTGCAACCTCTTTGTGATATATGCAGATATATCCTTGACCTTCTCTAGCGCAATATTCGTACATTGTAACAATTCCACGGCATCGACTACTATACCACCAAGCTTGGCAATTTGACAAACTTCCCCGTGACGATTCATACTGATCGTGCAACTACCCTCTCTTAAATGTTCCTCCATTAACGTCGTATCAACCAATCTAGTCTGTTCTTGACCCTTTCCATAAAATGAAAATGTCACACAGAGTGGGAAATGTAAAAGACTCAAAGGCACAGGTTCTCGCTCTGCTAGAGTGTAGACAGTCACCGTTTCCCCTTCCGTACTTGTATCTGGTTTTCTAAAGTGTTGTAATGCAGCTATTATAGCAATACAGGACGCATCAATGAGATTTCCGTCTTGTGACAGAATGTGAACATCTGCTCGAACTGACCAACATTTCTGACCAGCGATGAGACAAAGAGATTCGGTATCGAGGGCTGCAGAACGTCGCAAAGTTTTCTCGAGAAGGCGAGAGAGCAATACTTCTTGTTCGGTTGGACGGTTGGTTTCGAAAGCGGGTGAGGCCATAGGTGAAAGCTCCGTTGTGATGGTGAAGATGCCATCGAAGGGACGGTCCGGGAATGGACTTGTTACTTCAGCTGTGATATTGACGAGCACCCTAGAGAATTATCAGCCCTACTAATGACCGTTGAAAAGATCGCTTTCAAAGCAGATTTTTCAAAGATGCTTTGAATATGCATCTCCTGTAATCGCATCTCTTACCTTGTCTTTCCTAACCTCACATCTGCAACACCATATTCATCTCCAAACTCTAACTCTAGAGCTCGAAATTGATCAAAGCTTCTTCCATCAATTCTCAAATTTTCTTTGAGAGCCTTCGAAAAGAACTGCTTTTCATTGATAGAAGGCTCAACTTCTCGAGGCATCTCGAATTACTTATTGACGTGAAAATACACGCTGAATGGTTGCACGGATTACATTATTCCCCAAGATTTCTTTTTGCCAGAAACTGTAAGGCGGTGAGCTTTGATCAGACTAGCGCAGCCTTATTTGGCATCTTCAAATGTAGGTGGTCTATCGCGTCTGGCCTTCACCTTATCTTTTATCAAACATTGATTTACATTTTCCACAGCAAACAATATGACTACCGGTAAGCCCTTTTTGACAAAATTGTTATTTTTACTTGGGAATCACTAACGAACCTTCTAGCACATAGACCTACCTTCGACCCAGTAAGTGAAATTCCATTGCGAATTGTAGACAATGTTTCTCATGGAAAATAGGCAGTGGGAAAAGAAGCACAACGAGGCCCAGCCTACCATCAAAGATTACTTCCAGCTCACACACAACTGAAATTCCGGTACAAACCCTTGTTATTTTTGTTTGGGAAATTTGGGGTTAATTGAGTTATAGAAAGCCAGGACAGGGAGGAGATGCGGCAGCCGCAGTCAGAGACCTTCGAGCAGAATTATTACAAGCAGAAGCAGCACATTTCGCTAAAAAGAATGGAGGATCGAACGCTGTAATCGAAGATGTACAGTCCTCTACAAACACATCCAAAAGACAACTCGAGAATGGCTCTGTGGAGGACGATGAAGATACAGAAGCAAAGAGGCGGCGCATTCTAGAAGAAACTCGAGATATAGATGCCGACTCTGACGATGCTGGAGGGAGTGATAGTAGTGATGATGACAGGTTCGCCGAATATTTACAACCCTCTTGAAAAAAGGCTTACATGATGTTAGCGATGACGACGAAGATGAGACTGCGGAGCTTCAACGGGAACTTGAAAAGATTAAGCGCGAGCGTGCCGAGAAACGAGAACAAGAGGTCAGATTAAGCTTTTCAAAGCTGCCAAATTTACCACTAATTATGATGCTCTAATAGGAACGAGAAAGACTAGCGGCTGAAGAAGCGGAGCGAGAGCATGATATCGCTCTTGGCAATCCATTGTTGAATGCCAAATCTGACTTCAACGTTAAAAGGCGGTATGTTAGGTGTGAACAAGTTTCGCATGCGGTATCTGCTAACTCAAGATTACTAGATGGGACGATGATGTCATTTTCAAAAATCAAGCTCGTGGAACCGAAGATAAAGGCAAAAAAGAATTCGTCAATGTATGTTGTACCAGTCATGAAATTACCTTCACAGGATACTGACCCAAATCTTAGGACCTGCTACGTTCCGATTTCCATAAGAAGTTTATGAGGTATGTTTGGATGTTTGAATCTCAACCCAGCGGCAATGGTAGCAATCAATCAAATAAGACTAACATGTTGTAGCAAATATGTGAGATGATGGAGTCATTGTGCATCACAATGTAGGGGTACAATTTGGAAATTAATTCTTCCGGACGAGACTCGGATATGTAGTATAGAGGGCGAAGGGATTTGGCGTCATGGTTGCATGGAGTATGGTCGGATGTTCTAGCAGTATTGCCCCAGTACATGAATGAAATTGGATCTTGATCAGCCTCCTCTTTGATTCGTACTCAAGTCATGACTGGGAAGACCCTTTCTTCCGTTGGTCCTTTTGAACGAATTCATGGATGTGATTGCATCTCACTAGTTACGGATACAGCCAGCAGAAAAGCTTGTTTTTAAGTGACATATTGATGATTTGTGGCTGACTAAGTGGATTCTACCCCGCATCTTTTACATTCTCATTCCACACATGTTGTTGTTCCAAACTATTCATTGGTCAGACCAAGTTCTTCGCTTTTATTACCAGCACCGCCACAGACGTAACCTGTTTTGATCCGGTTCGACAATGATGATGCATTCTCCTAGTGTTCTTTCACTCCGACGTGGGTAGAGAGATGTAAAGTCAGATCACGATATAGTCTACTAGAGTGAAAACGGTTTCTCAAAACTACCGATCTTGTTTTCTTGGTACTGCCATTGCTGCATTCGGGTGAAAGCACGTGGCTTTTGGAACAATCTATCCTTGTTTTACCATTCCAGTTGACGTCTGTCATGTATGCCAACTCTTCCAAGCTCTCACAGGGTCTTTCTTTGAGGGTACCCTAGTAGGCATCCTTCAAGACCGGGACTACCTTTCGATTTGATCATCTCATGACATATTAGCTCATCGACGAAATGTTATAAGTAGCCCTCTAATATCTTCCCATTTTCTACGTATCAAACAAACATTCAACCTCACAACTAGCTTCTACATAAAAATTCGGCAACAAAAACAAAGCAATTTAATCATGTCTACATACAACAACGACGATTCCAACGACACCACTGGCCGCCGCGGTGCCCCTTCTAGCGCAGATGATTCGTTCGCAAATACCACAGGCGGTTTCGGGAATGAGAGCCGCGGCAATAACACCAGCGCCCGAGGCGTTGGAGGCACCGGCACATTTGACGATCAGGATTCTGGAGCATATGGAGGATCTTCTACTCAAGAAAGCCGCGGTTTCAACACCGGAAACTCTGTTAGTTACACTTACAGTATCTTTTTCGACTATTGCTGATATGATATAGGGAGGACTGAGAGACAACGAGTTTGGCTCAAGCAACTCTAAGTATGGAGGAGATCTCGGCGATGACACCAATAACTTCGGAACTGGTAGAAGTGAACGAACTTCAGGATTAGGTGACAATGCCTCTTCTGGCTTTGGAAATACTTCAACCTCCCGCTCTGGCTACGATGATAACACTTCGTCTGGTTTTAAAGATTCGGGAATTGGTGGAGCTTCCTCAGGTTATGGAGACAACACCTCTTCAGGTCTTGGAAACTCTTCTACTTCTCGTTCTGGATATGGAGGAGACGAGTCAACTGGTTTGGATAGTTCAAGATCAGGCTATGGAGACAATACCTCTTCTGGATTCGGTGATAAGACCTCTACTGGCTACGGAGATAGCGCTTCGAAATCAGGCTATGGAGACAACACCTCCTCTGGATATGGCGACAACCCTACCTCTACTCTCGACTCCTCTCGCACCGGATATGGTGAGAATACATCCAGCGGCATCAGTGGAAACACCGACTCATATGATTCCAACAAGACCCGCTCCGGTAATGCCTACGGTTCCTCTGACAACACTGGCTCGCGCGATTATGATAACACCTCAAGCTCTAACACTGGAAAGACTGGTGATTCCACCATGGGCAAGATCATGGAGAAAGCTGGACACGCGCTTCACAAGGAGAATTTGGTCGAGAAGGGCGAGGCTAAGCGTGCCGCGGCTGGAAGTGATGATTACTAATTCTTGGTCTGCAATGATGAATCAGGAGGGAATGGATAAATTGGTATATTGTCTTGTATGATAGTTTGCTTGTTTAATTTTAGCAGATATGAATTAATGATTATTTACTTTTCGCGCATCTTCATTTTCCAATCGCATATTTGAATAGTACTTGCATTTTACTTGACACGGCTTATTGTCATTCGACAGTGATCGTTTTCCTGTACCAAGTTTCAGGGGCTTTTTTGGAGAATCAATTTGATCACACAAAGCCCTGCATCTTGACGCAATATATTACCCAAGAAAATGCATCACCACCGTTATTGTGCATGCATAAGTGCATTCATTCACATATTTTATGTAAGATGTGATCTACCGTGCATGAAGAGAATGCTGCATGCATACGTCATCAATCTTGTCGTAGTTCTTTGAGCGTGGAATTTACATGTGGTGTGATTTACAGGATACTTGATTGGATGGTAGATTTCATGAATGGAGCAACAAGATATCAGATAGTTGACTTGTTTAAAAGAGGGATGTTTGAAATGTTGAAACGTATTACCTTGTCAGATGAGTACAAAGTAGTCGAGAAGTTGGCGCGATTTTAAATAAGTGTACTTGAGGGGATGCTCGGCTAAGCCCCTTCATTTCATTGGCATCAAGGTTAGAAGTAGTATGGGCATTAACAGCTATATTTGAAATAAAGTTAGATGTGTTGATGTCTGAACGTGGAAAGTAATTCTAAACATTGATAAGGCCAACAAATCAAGTCCAAAGTGATGGAAGCAGTGGATTGATCCATTTTATTCTCTTCCGTCTCAAAATTATTGTCATTCAATTTCGCTCTTTGCTGCCGTTCCATTAATATAACTATCACCTCATATATCTTCATCACATCATCAGCTTTTTGACTGCCACACCCAACATTATCACAATCTACTTCTAATCTCTCCCAAACCTCCACTCATGTATGGCCCAACATCTTGAGTTTCCCTCCCAAATAGTATCTGGTCTCTACCGCCCCGTGTACTCCACCATCCGACACATAAAGCGCTCCTCTCAACGTCCATCTCTCCACTCTCTAAGACTTCCCAGAATCTTGCTTTGCATCGTTCTCTCATGTAATTATCTTCGATGGAATTCAAAAGGTCAGCTGATATTGGTAACCATGCTTGTAGAGTATCGAGGGGAAGATTGGGTAATGCATCAAGTAGTGTCAGCATAAGGTATGCCTGTTCAGAGAGAGGCGTCTGACTATCTTGTTGGCTGGCGGTGTCTCTCATATATACAGATTGTGGTAGTGACGATGTAGGCGCATGGGTTGCACGGTGATGGAGCATTTCTAGAAGGGTCTCGGCTAACATTGGCTCCGCGGTCGACAGTGGTGTAGGCGGAGTAGTAATGTGTATTAAAGACTTAAATGCGTAACGGAATTGTCTAGGCGACAGGTTGTTCGGAAAGGAATTAAAGAGAGCATCAACGTAAGTTGGTATGAATCTAGCGGTCAATTTTGTGTTTTGAGGGGCTGAGAGTACTGCAAGAACAGCGCTGTGAGCAGCCTCAAAGATTTCCAAGAACCCAGGATGAGCTGTTGGATTGAGATAAGGGGCTGCCACACTAATGATTAAACTTTCGTTGTCAGGCGGACTAAGAATATCTGTCAAGTGCTCGCAAGTATTAAGATAAAATAGATCATGATTGCGCTGCAAAGGGTTATTTGGAATCTCGCCAGCTTGCGTGGGGTATATAGCTTTGAGAAGCTCTCTTGATTCGAGAGGATAATTAGATAGGATGTCGATAGAAGACAAATTAACGAACACATATGCGGAAAAAGAATTCGAGCCAAGTCGAGACGAAATAAAGTGAATGTTCCCAAGAATGATAAGGGTTTCCGAAGCTCCTATCGGGGCAAGGCGTCTTGTCGAAAGGATAGGGTCAAGCATAGTTCTTCCCATAAGACCTTGCAGAATGACAACGGTAGCAAACATAGCGCTCTTCAATACCTGCCATAAGACTGGTGTGGTCATTTGGAGGGTTTCGGGAGTTAGAAAAGCCGCCTCCTCAGATGGATCAATTTCCGATAACTTGTTCCTCTTCCAGCCTTCTAGAAGTCTGCCCGAGAAGGAAAGAAGATGCTCTCGAATTTCTATTGCGAGTAGAGGGTTGGTCATATTTTCGATTGCATGTGCGATAAGCCTCGAAAGTGGCCCCATGGACGACAGTATCGGGCTTGATGCCTGCTTTTGTAGTTGTATAAAAGAGGAGGATTTGGACGACCAATCGAACTTATCTCCCGGGACTTGTTTGACATCCGCATCAATGTATTGCAAGAAAATACCGTCCTGATAGCCCTCCAATGCAGTCACCGACCGTACCATTATCATGACTAAACTATCATAATTCAGACCCGCACGCACTCCGTCCGATAACAGGGGAAATGCGTGATTGAGAGCTAACACGATGGATTCTGCAGCAAGAATCCCGTCTCTCATTGGATTCTCCAGTGCTAAGTTTGCCGCCGTTACTAATGCTCGCTCGAGTGTACTCCTAAGACCGCTAGAGAGCCCATGCCTTCCTCCATTTTCCATGCCTAGTAACACGCCAGCGATTACGAGAAGATGCTGCCATCTTGGCGACCTTTCATCTGCACCCTTGATCACTGATCGAGCCCAATCATCAGAACCAATCCCGCCTCCTTTCCGAGGTTGGTATGCATCGTACGGTGGATGCTCGTTACGACTTTCTACTTCGTTTTTGCACACCGTGATGGCAGCAGTATTGAAGACACTGATGATTCGGAGGCAAATTCGTAGACCATCGGTATTGTTCCATATAGCAGGCGCGGTAAGGAGATGTGATGTTAGAAGACTAACGTTCAAAGGATTCGTAAGAGTGGTAAGTAGAGAGGTAGTTGTCCCAAGGATTCTGTCAGTTTGGGCTGGGTCAGGCACGCCTTGGTATGCGCGTAACACAGTCGTAAGAAGTCTATCTGCCGGCATCTTAAACTACCCTATTTATTTTGGCAGGACTTCAAATCATTGTGATGCTCGTATTGAGATATAATATTTAGATATTAAGGGTGATATGTGATGGCTGATGTGTTAACGATGGAATGGAGCTCAACAGCCGAGGTATATCAATTCAGCCTTGTGTTGCGCACTGAAGGGTTCACAAGGCTAAAATGTAAAGTATAATTTCTAGAGTTACACTGCACCGTCGCATCGCGTTAAACGACTACAGCTTCCATACATTCCATTTCCTTACGATGGGCTTTTCGCCCCAATAAATTATGTCCCTTTTGAAGTGAGTCGCAGTACGACATTAAGAGGAATAGTTATGCTAATTGAAGTTCGCAGCACTCGGATCGATAACCCGGCACCTCTTGACTACTCCACGCCGCCATTTCCATCACTCTATTGGCCTCTCCATCCCAAACCTGGAGTCCCAAACTACCTATACTATGCTCATGACATTTGGCGATACACTTTACTATGGACACTCATTGTGTACGGAATCACGCACATTGCTGTAGCTGCCTGGGCTGTTGCAATGCAACTAGGAAAGGGGAAAAACGCCTGGCAATATGCTTGGATTATACCACTGGTGTACGCTTTAATAGCTGGAATTGAAGCCTTGCTGGCGGGAAGTCTAGTTGGTTTGATGTGGGTATCGTCTCGCAATTTACGTAGGAGCTTCCTTTTTTTTGTTGCTAATTCTGTCACTCCTAGACTCGGTGCCATTTACAATGCAGGTTATTTTCAGATGTCAACGTGGATTCCGTTCATATGGGCATTGATCAATGTTTTAGTCTTGATTATATCTTCTTTCGCAATACAGGGTGGTCTATGAGGCATCAAATATATTGATGATGCATGCATCTTTTGGAAGATGAAATTAATATGAGTTGGAGCTCTATCCCCCTCTGAGCAATCAGGACTTGAGATTTGGATCTGGTTCTTTCGGCTCGATCTTTTTGATGATTTTCGCTGGATTACCAGCTACGACATGAAAATCGGGAACATCTTTCGTCACGACACTCCCAGCACCCATGGTACAACCTCGACCGATGGTTACTCCAGGGCAAACTGTAACACCGCCTCCGAACCACTGGGAAAACGTTAGCATCGATGATACCTATCGGTAGTACACAGGGATTGAGCTGATGAATAATATCGATATCGCGTCAAACATTGTCAGAAGTACGTACGCAGTCTTCTCCAATTGTTATGGGTGCCCCAAGCTCCGGGCCATTAACACCATTGCGAAGGAAAGGATCTAATGGATGCGTGGCAGCATAGAACGAACAACCTGGCCCAATTAGAGTACGAGCTCCTATCGTGATCAGACAGGTATCGAGAAATACGCAGTTAAAGTTGATGTAGACTCCTTTGCCAATCCTGTGGAGGATTAGTACTTTCTCAGAATGCGGTTTCGCAGTTTGAGGCCTACCTCAGATTGATTCCATAGTCTACATTGATTGGGCCATCAATATATGGTTCATCTCTTAGGATTACGAAGTCTTCCTCATCTGTGGCTCCCACTGGAGGAAGAGGAGTCTTGTCATTGATGATGCTGGTATTGTTAGTCTTCGTACTGCCACTCAGGTAGAAATGAATGCTTACTCTCTCCACATCTCTGCCAGCTTTCGTCTTGGGGCATCAGCGGCATCGTTGAATCTTTTGCAAGCCCAATGACATCTTATAGGAGATCAATTATCAGCTGTAATCGGGGAAGTGACTCTGTTCAATGGAGTATCTGATGGGTGTATTCCTGTTTGTCTCTTACCTATTTCGCTTTTCAGTGAGGTTCGGTACGAATGCATAATAGAGCTCCCCATTCATCATCTTAGTTTCATTTTCAACATGGTCAATGGCCTCCATGATTAGATTATGATGTGGAAGTGTAGTGTTAATAGGTAGTCAAATGATATTCAATTGATGGAATGTTTGGGTCAGAGATGAAATCTGTCAAAACTGGATCTTAAGTGAACATGTCACGTCTTAGCTTTCTTACTGCCGAGCTAAACCAAGAGCTCCACTTTGCCTGACAGTTGGAAAGCGTTTCTAGCACTTCCCGAGGTCGTATGCGGAATACCTTTCTGATCTACTTACGGGATTCGGTCCTCGGAAGATACGAGATCGTGGTGGGGGTGGCTGAAAGAAAGGGCTTAGCTATTTCATAGGGAAGGGGAAATGGATACTCAAGTAGATACCTACTGGTAGGTGGCATTGAGCTTAACTTAGGGAGTTTATAATGTAATTTATCAGCATGTGGGCCATATCAGCATATGGGCTACTTTCATCTCAATTTATACTTTTTTCTTTTAATATATGTTTTATTAACAATTTATAATGAATTTGAATAATCAAGAAGCTTATATACTCCTTACTATCGAAGCTATTCAAAAAAACAGAAAACTAAATATTCAAAAGATTATTAAAATATATAATATTTTGTATATAATATTATAATATAGAATTAATTATTTTATTCTTTATATAGAATATTGATATAAATCTTATAATCTTTTAAAATTAAAAGAGAATATTATTATTGAATATATATTCAATATAGATTTGAAAGGATTTTTATTTAAAATTAAGAATATAGAAGATATAATAAATTATATTTTTGAATTAAGAAACATAAAATATATTAGAAAACTTTAAGTATATTGATTTATAAAATATTGAATTGAATTAAAGATATATTTTAATTATATTTACAATTTTCAAAAAGTTTTTTATAAAGATTCTAAGTTTATTAAAAACTGATTTCAATTGATTGCAAATATATAAACAAAATATAATATTTTAAATAGAGATTTCTATAATTTCAATAAAATAGACTTTATAATAGAAATTATAAATATAATTATAGTTGTTATTAATATTGAGAAATATAGTAGAAATAAATTAGTATAATTAAATAATTAGAAATAAATTATAATAATAGTATATAGAAATAAAGAGAATAAAATTATTCCTTTATTTTTAATAATTTAAGAATAGATTTATTTCTTTACTTAATATATCAAAAATAATTTTTTTATAAAATAAATTATTAAATTCATATTTAATAAATAAACAAATAATAAAATAGATTTAGAATAACTGAAATATTTTGATAAATATATTAAAAATCAAAAAAAGAGTAAATATCAAATATTAATATTAAATGGATATAAAAGTTATAAGTAAATATTATCTCAAAACTATTATAAAGAAAATGATATTAAATATATATATTTATTATTGTATTCAAGTTATTTAATTCAATTATTTGATATAGATTATTTTAGTAATCTGAAATATTTATATAATGTTTAAATTAATAGATTTATTAAGGTATATATTAATTATATTTCGAAAATTGAATTCTTTATTGCTTTTAAAATTGTATATGAAAAATCAATTACTTTTTAGAATATAAAATTAGAATTTCAAAAAATAGATTTAATATTATTTAATTTTGAAATTATACTTTTGAAATTAGATATTCGAATTTGTATATTTACTTTTCTCTTTTTCGATTTAGATCAATAAATCTTTCAAATTCCTTATAATCCAATTGAAGCTTTTTCTTAATTAATATTAGTCAAATCTTGAATAAGTTATTATTAATTAAGTTTCTTTATACCTTTATTTGAGATTATATTAATTTTAGTTAAAAATATAAAAAAATTAGTTTATAAGAATATACTTTTAAATATAAAGGTTTATATATTTTGAAAAATAAATAAGATATTAAATAAATATCAATATATAGAAAAAGCTCAATTATATTAAGGAAAAGTATTTATTAAATAAAAGACTTTTAATATATTATTTTAATAAAAGATTAATATTTAGATTCAATATAATAAATATCAAAATAGGGGGAATCCTAATAAGGAAATATCTTTTAATAGATATTATAATAAATATAGAAAACCAGATTATAATCCAAAAATTTATTAAAATAATATAATAGATTCTAGATTTTTAGATTCTTAATAATCTTAATCAATTGATATAATAGTTGATGAATAATTTATATTTGAAAGTATGAATTAAGATGAAAGTGGTCTACATGCTGATATGATCTATATGCTAATAAATTATGTTATATATACTTACTTAGTAGTATACAAAGCATAGTGGATAGTAAGTAGGTAGGTATATATAACTCAAGCATCTAATTCTTTACTGAATGTTTAATGGATACAATCTACTAGCTAGATAGGTAGATTGTATTTGAGAAATATCTATCTATAGAGCTATTTGAGCGGTCAGGATACCTGCCTAGGTATTTAGTGAGACTTTGTTGTATGGAATGTTGTCACATGCTTATTTGTTAAACCGACTAGGAAGTACCAATGAATATCGAGGTTTCCAAGAACCTTCAAGAAAAAGGTAACAAACCCCTCGAAATCTCATCTCATTCTTCACCAAGGACAATATGAAGAAACAGTTAAAAAGGTTATGTACGAATAAAGGGAATCGTATTTGATTGTCCCCATTTCTTATAATTTTTCGTAATTTCGTTTCTGTTTAGCTATCGATACTGGATCTCCGTGCTCATATATATTACTTAACCCAGCCTGAAAAGTATTGGATTAACCACCAAGCATCAAGCTTCAAACTTCAAGCTTCCATTGCACTCATTTGATTGTTTGCGACCAGTATCTTTGGGATTATTGCTATCATAATCATGTCTACAGATGATACTACTAATGCCATTCGTGGATCAGCGTCAGCGCATAGCTCACCCGAACAATTAAAGAGTACAGCGAGCACACCCGGCGCAACTCGTCGACGTCCATGGGATGTAATACAGAACGGCGGCGTTGCCCCTCGAGCGCGAGTCGGGCCCAATCGAGAACAATTCGCAGAGATACCCAGCATCGACGAAGCCATCACTCAATTCGAGAAGCAATTCTTTCCCGGTCAACCTAAATCTCTGTCTGGAATCGCATTGCGATCTTTCCTCGTTGGTATTGTCCTTGCGATTTCTATGTTCGCTACCTTATACCTTTTCTTCGTCACCAATTCGATATTCTGGCGCATTCCCTTCTTCATCTCCTCTCTCGCAATCTTCCATTTCCTCGAGTTTTGGACCACGGCGAGATACAATACTCCGGAAGCATCTATCTCCTCCTTCCTCTTCAGTGGCAACGGTTCTGCATACAACATTGCGCACAGCGCCGCCGTTACCGAATTTCTCATCACCAATACATTTTTCCCCCATGGATCTTCATACCGCATCTTTGGTCTACAATTTCCCCCTTCCGTATCCTTGTTCAGTTCCCGATCCCAAAACTTGATTCTCGTTCTCGGTCTCATCCTCATAATCCTAGGCCAAACGATTCGATCCGTAGCCATGGTACAGGCTGGTAGGAGTTTCAACCACATTGTTCAGTTCACTCGATCGCGTTCTCATACACTTGTTACAACTGGTTTATATGCATGGTTGCGCCATCCCTCGTATTTTGGATTCTTTTGGTGGGGATTGGGTACACAAATGGTTTTGGGAAATTTCTATTGTTTCTGGGGATATACGCTAGTTCTGTGGATGTTCTTCAATAGGAGAATTAAAGGGGAAGAGGCTTTGTTGATTAAGTTCTTTGGGGATGAGTATGTGCAGTATAGGCAGGTCTCATGGGTGGGAATCCCTTTCATCTAGATTTACAGTGTAATGCATGCAAATCTTGAAATTTATTCATGTTCATATTGGATATGAACAATCGGTTGTATGCTCGGAAACGTATGGGATGGTAGTATATCAAAATTTGGAGGGATTCCTGTATTTTGCGTAACTCGCCGATCGCGCCCAGAGATGATGGAAAGTGGGCGAATCCACTGATCTTGTAAGGGAACATTTGAATGATTTCTATGGCTTGCATCGACTGGATACTTCAAAGGGAATGTTTGTTCACCACGAGTATTTTGGGATAAAAGTTCTGTACCATATTAATGATAGCCAGGCATTGTGGCTTCTCTATTTTTGTGTCTAATTGCGGCAGAAAGAGTAAGTGTAGCAGTTACACATGCTGGGAGCCGCCAAGCTCATAGAAATTCATACTACTTGTTTTTAAAGACTGAAGTAAGGCGCTGTTAAAACGGCCAAAATGTCTGTGATGTAGACTGCCATTATTTGACCTGCTTGCTAACACTCCCGTATTTAGCTTGCCACGCGAAGAAGTAAAGTAATGCAGCAAGGGGTTGTCCAACCAGGGTGAAAGATACCCAAAAGATACAGTTTCCGATAATCTTGCCATTTATGCCGTTCATTTTCTCTAATGGGGTCGTGATAGCAATGAGTGGTAGCTGTGCCATCATGCCAATGAATGCAACGCCTAAAGATTGTTAGCAGACGACAGCATAAAATCACCCTGTGAACCTACCAATCATGTTATGTGTCGGTACGCCGACCATTATTTCATGGAGAATAGCGGAGAATGTAAATACCGCAACACTCGCTGAGTATGGACTCCAGCCTCTGCCTACGAGAGGTGAGAAAACATGTCGTTTCATGAATTGATAAACAGGCTTGTTCCAAGTTCTCCAATATGTTCCCACGCTGGACGAGTTCCACCAATCATCGTAGAAGTTCCTATCCCCAAATGTTGTGACCTCTGCAAGAACGTTCAAAAAAGATTGGAATAATGCGAAGAATCCTGCTAGCCATATGACCAGAGATATCGTAGACAACTTCATCAATCGTTCGAGGATGGATGGAAGATCTAGAGATGCCATCTTGTCTAAGGAGTTCTGCAGGACAGGGGCTGCATATTGTGCGCTAGCAACCCATATGAAAATACTCAGACCAAAAACTTCTGCCAACCTCTTACCTACAAAAACCCATCTAATCTTGTTTGTCCGAGGATATACGGGTTGATAAACCAATGTTGGAACCCACCAAAAGTATGTCAAGTTATTCAGCGTGATATTCTGTGGGTAGGGACATTTGTTGTATATTTCTGGCAATGCATCTTCCTCTTTACTAGAGGGGTGGAGATAAGCATGTCGAAGATCGCGGCAGGTGAATGCATAACTATACGTTTTCAACCAGACAATGATTGCGTGTGCCTCGGTTATTGTGCCTATAAGGGGATGATGTATGAAGAAGTAGACGATTATGGATGTGATGAGCAAACAGAGCGTTATGTTCAGTCCATGTATCCAAGCTATTACTTTCCAAGTTGAATGGAACTTCTCATGTTCGGCCTGGGTAGCAATATAGCTACCACCTGGCGTCGCCGTTCCAGCTCTCTTTTTGCTTCCCTTTAGTGATGCTTTTGCCTGTTGCGCGGCGGCGAGTTCGACAACGTAGGCGACAAAAAGATGGCATGGAACTATAAAGTAAAGAGCAGCACCTAGAATGAGATCTTGTCTGCGATAATCGTGACATCTTAAACATATCAAAACTCCATACTATTAAGAATTGTTAGCTACATTCGATGAAGCCAGGGTTTGAATAGGAAAGCTAAGCTAAAGATCATAACATCGGCGTTGTCAGAAAATGCAGAGGAACGAGGTATTCAGACAGAACTCCGTGACCCCTCTTTCCCCTCTTAAGCACCCAATTCTTCTTTCAATCGAGAAATACATGACTGGGAGGAAATATACCTTTCGAATATTTTCCAACATCAATCGCAGATTTGAGATTAGTAAAACAAGCACCATCAAATTTCTAAATCCAAGAAAGCTAGGGGCCGCATCGCTTTCATGGCTAAGACATGATGTTCGAGGTTTAGAATGAACAGCAGCGACGTGTCTATACTTCTTTTGTGTGTATTTTCGAAGTGAATCGGATGTATGCTGTTGTGTGAGAGGTTTTGGGAAATCCGCGACGCTGATGTTGGCTCTCTTCTTTCCGTGTGCACCATTGACATGTGAAAGTGTAGATCGCCTGATGGTTGTTGGAGAAATATCTGCCACACTCTCCGTACCAGTTGCTGTGGCATTTTCAGAGGTCATCATTGCGAAGATCGCATAGAGCCGTATTGAAATTCGAGCTGCTAGTATCTGAACATGTACCGAGTAATGAACGTGTCTCTGGAATGATTGATAAACAATGTTCCACGAGAACGAGGGGAGATACCAAGGAGAAAGCACAAGGGTGAACAAGCAATATGCGCAATTACCCGATAACTTGAATAATATTTGAAGCTGTGAAAATAGGAGAATCAATTGATCAACGGGAGTGTAATGAAAGAAAAGGTGTTCGAATATTTACCGTAGACAATTATTGTAGCCGTAATGAAAGTGAATTCCTCACTGGCCAAACCCCTCCCGAGGTCAATTATTGGCTGAGAATAAGTGATGATGGACCCAAGAACCGTCGAGTAGCGGCGCAAACTTAATTGATATACGAGTACTGGTAGCGGTCTTACAAAAGTGTAGGACGGTCGAAAATTGAGTATTTATCAAGATCCTCAAATTGAACTCAAGTATGAATAATAGCAAATACAGTCTTCGAAGATTTGGACGGATCTAGAGAGAGTGAAGCACAAGACGTCAAGAATGGCAAGGGCATTCCAAGTACTAGGTAGGTATGCACGCATGCAATTTCACACCAAATTATCCTTTCTCATGAGCCTTGCCCTTATCGCCCTTATCGCCCATGTGGAGGCACCAGAGCTCGAGCAGAGGTTATCAATATGATTACTAATCACACTCGTCGATAAATCGTTGTTCCGTTCCGTGCCATTGCGAATCCTTGTTCATCAAGTGTCAAAGTCGCGACCATTTTCTGAAAGCATGACCTCTTTGACTTGGCTTTCTTTATTCACGTAGTCCTCGCAAGTTCCAAACACATGATCCCGAATCAAACTCAACGGACCTCGCCGAAGAAGAAAGTAGTCGTTTGATCAAATATTATTGAAGGAAATGATGCACTGATAAAAATGGCATACGAACCTCGAGAGTATGGAGGTGGACGGGATCGAGAAAGGGAAGGAAGAGGAAGAGGAAGAAGAGATGATGGAGGACAGGAAGAGGGGGGTGGTGAAAGGGACTTCGTGAGAGGGAGAGGCCGTCGTAAGTACAATATTTGAAATTTTTTAATTGTCGATTGAGGCAGGCTGGGAAGCTCATCTATATCTTCTCGTTTCTTGGAATGTCTTGATTTACTAACTCTATATAGGCCCTGTCACGGATTATAGCTCTACTATGGTTCACTGGATGCGGAACCGTCAGCCAAGGTATAAAGGCGGTTACCAAGGTGAGATGGAAAGACCCAGTCCAAGTTACATGATAGATGTGAGTATTCTTAAACTAGTCGCATAGGTAATTTTGACCCTTTTGTTCTAATCACTCATAGATGTTACCACCGCTGGCAAGAATTCATAATGCAGCAGATTCGGTTCCAGGGAGGCATTTACATTCGTCACTTAATAAAATCAAGCACCCTGTGAATGTGGTAAGATGGACACCAGAAGGTCGACGATTACTCACAGCCTCCAGTAGTGGAGAATTTACTCTATGGAATGGCGCAGGTTTCAACTTCGAGACAATTATGCAAGCACATGATGTTGCTATTCGCGCTTTGTCTTATTCTCATAGTGATGACTGGTTGATATCAGCTGATCATGATGGAGTGATCAAATACTGGCAACCGAATTTCAACAACGTCAAAGTCATTCAAGGACATGACGACCCTATAAGAGATCTTGCATTTAGTCCAAACGACTCAAAGTTTGTCACGGCCTCGGATGACTCTAAGCTAAAGATTTTCGATTTTGCTGGCGGTGTTGAGGAGTCTATTCTCTCTGGGCATGGATGGGACGCGAAAAGTGTTGACTGGCATCCGACTAAGGGATTACTTGTTTCTGGATCAAAAGATCATCTTGTCAAGTTATGGGATCCGCGCAGTGGCCGATGTCTGACGACTCTCCATGGACATAAGAACACAATCACAAAAACGGTTTTTGAACCAGTACGAGGCCACTGCTTAGCCACTTCAGCTCGAGACCAAACCGCACGAGTATTCGACTTGCGAATGATGCGCGATGTATGTTTGCTCAAAGGGCATGATAAAGACATCTCTACCCTGGCATGGCATCCAATTCACCCTTCACTTTTGAGCACTGGCGGTGCTGATGGATCTCTTTTCCACTACCTCCTAGATGAACCAAACAATCCTGCTGGAACGGAACCTTCCATAGCCCCTTACGATAGTCCGGACCCCACTACTACACCGGCTCAAACCATCTATCCAGCTCATAAATTAACCTACGCTCATGAATTTGCTATCTGGTCACTTGATTGGCATCCTCTCGGTCACATCTTAGCATCAGGTTCCAATGATCGAATCACTCGATTCTGGACACGTGTACGTCCCGGTGACACAGATACATTCAAAGACCGCTATCATATTGGTGACTCAGCTGCCGAGGCGCAAGGAACCTATGATCGTCGCGGCGGGCGACGCCAACGTCAAGAGGAAGAAGATCAAGAAGCTGAAGACGAAATGGAAGGATTAGTCGATCAGAAAATGCCTGCAAAGGTACCCGGTTTTGCCACAGGAATACCTGGTCTACCATTACCTGGTATGGGAATTATCCCTGGTATGAATCGTGTTCCTCCGCCTCCACCTCCACCTATGCTCAGCGGAGGTAATATGCCACCTCCACCTTTACCTGGAAATATAGATGCCAATACCTTAGCAATTATGATGAAGGCTGGTTTGCCACCTCCAGGGGCACCGGGCATGCCACCCCCACCGCCGATGCTCCCACCAAACTTTCAACTCCCACCTGGCTTCGTTGTTCCTCCACCTCCTCCTGGTATGCCAATACCTGGCTTAGATAGTACAGATTTATCAGGTGGTAGTGCTGGAATTAGAAAGCGGGGACCGTTGCCAAGCCAAGAAGAAAGTTTACAAGCGATGCAAAGGCAGGGAAAATTTAGACAAGCACGATAGTGAGTATTTGATATCTGGGGAGTGAAACTCGGACTGTATACCAGAATATAGCATTTTCGGGCGAAATGAAGCATGGGGCGTTTGGGCGAATTGTAATGTAGTCACATTGATAATTTTTGAATTGTCTTATTCACATATGTGCACCCATAGAACCAGGAGATGTGTTTCTTGTCAAAGTTTGAATCTGCTTGGTGATGCAATTGTAGGGTATTAATGTTATGGTATATGAATAGCAACACGAATTCCAAAAAAAAAAACTATCTTTAGAAAAAGCAAACGCCATGCTATGCAATCCCACCAGAAATGCTCGCCGATGCTGTATATATGCTGCAAATCTCCGCCCATTACATGCCCAATCTAAGAAGTGTGTCTTGGACTCGTCCTCCTTGGTGCACTATCCTTTGCAAATGCCTTCTGTCTATCCGAATAATCTTTTATAACTAACGCGCACATCATGTCATCACACAATCTCTTTCTCCTCTGAGCTGGCAACTTCGTCATAAATTCCAACCCACTAGCCCTCTCCACCATCTCAACAGGTACCTCAAAATCCGTCAACGGCTTCTCATTCGGTATCCTCGCATTAGGCAACACAAATGCACCAACTGCTACTGGGCCTGCTGTAGTACCATCTTCCGCAAAGATAACCTTGTAGAAATGTGTCGGTACAGCAATATTTGGTGGATTTCCAATAACCTCATAAGTAACCCTCCATTTTCCATCCGCTGGATCGCGCTTCGGTAAATACAAAGGTCCAGTAACGATTCTCACACTAGGGTATCGAGTCGTAAGTCTGCGACAAAAATCCTCAAAATGCGCCCAGTAATCGCGGTTGAATCCTTCTCCTACTTGCGGACACATGTTTGTGAGGAAGAAGGTATCGTTCATGGCTTCTTGACTCCATTTTGCGTCGGCGGCAGGTACTTGGTGTCCGCGATCGTAACCAGAACGAGCGTAGTCCTTCAATTTGCCGCGGAATTTTTCAGGGACAGAGGGGTCTTCGACGAAATAGGAATGTTTGCGATCGCCGTTTTGAGTTGCAAGTGAGGCGGGAGTTATATGTTCTGCAACCCAAGAAGGATTTCGAAGTCTTCGATCGAATGAAGATATCAGCGCATTTCTCGTCGCTAGATCTGCGACGGGTCCTGGAAATCCGTATTGGAAAAGACCTGCGGGGTCGACTGGTGCTATGACGTCCTTGATTATGGATTGACCAACTGGTAGAGGCACTGGTGAATGCGCGGAAGAAGTAGAGGATGCTGTGACTGCTGTTGAGCTTGCAGCTGCTTGGATTTTCTTTTCAGATCGTGTGGAATACATGGCGGCGGTTATACCGGCGCCAGTGGCTGCAGAAACGCCTGCTATAATTGCGAAGGTAGTTTTGGACATGACAGAGAGAATCGAGCTTGACGAGAGCTCGTACCGAATGGGAGAGGGAGATTATTTATGGGATTTATTTTGGGGTTGGGGGTGATCAATGTGAGTCTATGATCACGATGTCGATATTTCCGCGTGAGCTTTTTTCTTTTTTAGAACGAGGTTTCGTGTTGATGTCAGTTGAACTTTCCTGACGTGTCTCGGAAAACTGTCTCGGAAGCCCAGAGTTTTTCCGAGGGTTAGATCTGCAACAATCACGCTGTATTTCAATAATAAATTTACAATAGTTGATAGTATGAAATAAGCACTTGAATACTTTTCCAGATATGATACTACTTAGACTTTTCATCCTCTGAGTTGGGATAGAACAATTAGATTATTGAAGGGCATCGTTAGTGGTCAATCCCGATCAGATTTTCTCTTACGAATAAGCAGTGTAAGCTAATGTTTATGGAAAGCCATGCAATTTTCTTAGTCTATCCTCTTTACTCCTTCAAGCAAAGCATATTATGCTAAAAACAACGAGTTAAGAAATTGATAATGTACAATAGTCTCTGAGACTTTTCCAAGCCATACTTTCGAATATACAATTTATGGTCAGCTCTAAGATGACTGAAACTCCATGTTCTTCGAATGTCGGGTTTGTAGGGCTAGGATCACTCTTTTTACCAACAGATAGTTCACCAGTGGATGCATGGTCTGACGAGACACCTCTCAACTTTCGAAATTTTCAACAAATTCAATCTTTAATTGCTTTATATAAAACTTTATGTTTCGATTGTTCAATCTCTAATGAAACATTCAAACAATTTCTAAGATGTACCAATAGCCATATCAAGAGATATTTTTAAGTCCATTCTTGTAGTATCCCGTCAGTCCGTACACCTACTGGTGATCCCTCCACATTGAGTGAGTTTTCACTATACTCTTTGTGAAATGACGGCCAAACTGGCTAAGTTCTGAAATTATTCAGGTTAGATTTATTGAACAAAAGACTGAGAAATCTCATGACTTGCGCTCCCAAGCCTGGAGTGTTAACAGCGCCTTCGCCAGGGAGTGCGAGTATGGAAGAGGCTCTCTGAATCCTTGGGTTGAAGTCTTAATGGTTCTTTGAACTGATAATCTATCGTTCAAGTCATTAGTATCTCTTGAGTATTTAGCATTTAAAATGCTGAAAAATGATGTTGGTCAAAGACAACCGAGCATATACCACACACACCTAAGAGGTATTGTTTCTGGTCGATCAAATCCTTTCTTGCTTAAATCACCAGCCTCCGCAGCTTCCTGTCGTATATTGTAGTGCAAGATGAAGACGGCTGCCCCAGGGGCATGGGTTAGTGAGAAACAATGATAGAAAAAGTTGGTACGTTGATCACCAACTTTTCTCTATCTTCCTTTTGCATGGAGTTGACTGCTCTCCGAGCTGATTTTGAAAGGAAGATTGTTGTTTAGAATAGGTTAATTGTTTAAGTTAAGATCATCATCTAAGGCACATTGATTGTTCAAGGTAGGTTGACTGTTTAAAGAAGATGGGTTTTAAGGCAGGCTGGTTGTTTAAGGCAGGCTGACTGTTGATGGTAGTTTGGCTATTTAAGGTAGGTAGGTTCTTTGAGGTAGGTTGATTAATGAGAATAGTTTGTGTGATTTGGAGTCGAATGATCCGAAAAGTAGATATCGCATTAGTTGTAGATTTTGATGGTGTTTGTTAACGAAGGGAGCATGTCCAAATAGGGGGAACTGGATCCAATTGAGCACCTCTGGAGACAGGTTGAAGCCTTCAGATGCGTCATTTGGGAATGTTCTCGAGTCACTACGATATCAAAATCACATCACCATGACTGTACGATCCATGTTGAGTCACTGAAACACTACGATATCAAAGTCACATCACTCAGGAATTTGCGATTTATGTCGAGTCATTTCGATGACACGTTTCATACTTATTTGGATGATAGTTTAGGACGGGAACTCTACGTAGATGAGTAACTTGATCAATCATTCAGATGGTAGTCTTCGGATGAGAATACTAATAATTGGATGCTAAAGGCCCACCTTCCCCCCTGAGGACCTCGCCTAAGATACCCTGATGTCTTGTTTAAACTAAGATATTAGATCTAGACATTTATCATACTGAGATTGTATAGGAACACATTAAAAGAATCGAGTTCTCCAGAGCATTAAACCCTTATACAAATGGTAGACTTCTCAAATTTACAACTAATTCCATTCTTATACAAAAGTCCTTCGAGAATAGTCGTGTAAAGCGCTCAAGATATCTCACCTAACTCAGAGAATCGACAACTGATCTCGAAGGATGCTGAGCAATGCATTTCGATTATGTGAGTCCGAAAAGAATAGCTGTGGCACTCTTCAAATTAGAATTAGGTAGTGAAGTACTATGCTTCCAAACGATCTTAGACATCCAGGCTGAATGGAATGGAGGAGTACACTGGTTATTTTTGGAATAGAAATCAAATAGCCGACGGTGACCAACATTAATATACATGCCTTCAAACTATTGCAAAATCTGATATACCAAACAGTAGTCTTAATGAGTATTCTACTATAAATTTGGATGAAATTTTGAAGGGGTTCTCGTTTATGTTGACGTGAACACTATAGAGTCTCGAGGGAGTGTTCAACAGCAAAGGAGAAAGCTACTAGGTAGACACACAATCAAGATAACGTAAGTGGCATTTTCCACCTGTACATGCATCTACGCTACTGCGGCTCCTTCTTGATGTTGTCTTATCTGAACAACATATATAAACAATCAAATGATCTTGACTCGAACAACAAAACAAAGTAAAAGCAATTACTCGATAGACATCATGGCCAATCAACGTCGATGTCACAGTGATGAATAATCTCGAGAGCTGCACGTGGAACCTGTTGTCAAGGCTAGCGGTGTGGCGGGATCAATTTGAGAACCTTGATGGTTAAAAGGATCGAGTTAAGGTTCAGACCTGGGTAAAGACTCCGCCTTGTCTATATTTTCTTTTTTCTCAATGACGAATTAAACACTCGGGATTTATTATGAATTTAAGACTATTGACCAATCAAAAAGAGTGGATGAATGAATGCATCTATGATTTACATGATTTATGATTTAACCTTTTGGAGAATTCTGAATTCGGGTCTTTCCTGACTTTCCTTGTTGTCTTCTTGCACCAAGCAAGCCATCAAGGTCTTGCTAGGTAATTTTATTATTCTTCCTACTAGGTAAAGTAGCTTAATAATATTCCTTCATCGTGTGTTCATTCTTATCAATCTTGTCATTGCAGTTAGTTACCTATGACATAAGATAATTCAATTCCTATAGCCGCGAAAACCTCTGAATATCCTGTTCGTCTTCCTCTAACTCTTTCGCCCTTTCACTGTCTTACACCATTCATTACTTTGTTATCTCCTTCAAAGATTGTTTGCTTCGCCAGTCTCAGATTCACCTAAAACCCTAATATACTCTTCTTACTCCTTCCGAGACTTTTTCGGGTCTACCTGTGAACTGTACTGCGAATCAGTTGGACATTCATAGCTACATCACTTCGATCTACATTAATGCCACTGCGACAACACATGCAACAATACCCCCTTCAATACCATCTTCTGCAAAAACATCAGGGATAACCTGCGACAACCCATACAGTCAGGTTTGACCTAGTTCGACCTTGTGCCACCTTGTATTGGATATATTTTTGAGTTACTACTTGTATATCAACCCCGCAGACGGAGAGAGTGTTTGAGGAAGCAAGAATATATCATTATAAAGTTGGCATCACAAACCGTCAGTATGGAGGCAGACTCGTTGAATAATGATATGAGAGGGTGGATTATGGCTATTATCAGTGGAATAGGTCAGTATAATACTCCATGGTCCATGGACCGTTGTTTGATCAACTCTAACGACAGTTTTTAGCATGTGTTATTGGTAGTTGCATAATATGCATAGATCTATTGATTAGATATATCCCCAGCAAGAAGAATTTCAGGATACAAGATAACAATGCTTTCCTAGCTGCATCTCTAAGTTTGAGTTTTGGTGTAATGGTAGGTTATATCTTTCAGCCATTTGCCTACTTGTTAACTAACTATACATTTCTTTTGATAGATATTCTCTTCGTTGTATAGTATGCTCCCATCATCGAAAAAATATCTAATGGAGGGCGGTTATACAGCTCAAGCTGCTGCATGGAATCTTTTGGCTTGTTTCGCTGCAGGATTTATTGGCATACAAATTGTTTCGAGGCTCATGCATCAATTTATCCCCTCGCATGTCTCACACTGCGATCATTCTCATAATCAAGATGCAACGCATCACGACCACGACCACGACCACAGCCACAGCCATAATCACCAAACCTTCGATGGCTTTGATGGCCACCATGATAATCATCTTTCGCTATCAAAATCGAATTCTCATGCAGCAGTCAATCAAGGAAACAGTGCGATGTCGGAATCTACACCACTTCTCGCTTCACACGTCGGAGAGAATGGAAAGCCTTTAATAGAAGGTCTTACACCACCAAATAAAGATTCTCAGCCAAGCAATCGCCGCCAATCCCATAATCTTACCAGGCGACCATCCCTCATGGTAGTTCATGACAGAGTGATGTCTTTTGTAAAGGATAGGAAGGCCAATTGTGATGAGAGTGGACCATGTTTTGGGTATTCCGATCTTTGTGGACGAGAATGCTTAAAAACCCCCATGAGTACGAAGATTCCTTGTTCGGCGCGAACTCCCACAGGCACCTTATCAGCCCGATCTCAATCTTTCACATTACCAGAAGAGGAAGAAGAAGAGGCTCCAGAAAATTCAGCGCAATTACGCAGGGCTATTTCCGAAATAGAAATTCCCAGTTGTCATGACTCTGACATTGAAGCTCAACAACATCATCACCATGTTCCCGAAAATGTATTTATGGATATTGGTCTTCAAACAAGCATAGCTATTGGATTACATAAATTACCCGAAGGTTTTATTACGTTTGCTACAAACCATGCAAACCCCGAACTTGGAGTTTCTGTCTTTTTAGCTTTACTTGTTCATAACATCACCGAAGGATTTGCAATGGCTCTGCCATTGTACCTAGCACTTGGTAGCCGACCACGGGCTATCTTTTGGAGTTCCTTCCTCGGAGGTGTGTCACAGCCAGCAGGTGCCGCAATCGCAGCCGCATGGTTTTCAATTGCCGGACGGGAAGGTCATGCGCCTAATATTGTGGCTTATGGATGCATGTTTGGTATCACGGGGGGCATTATGGCTAGCGTCGCATTGCATCTTTTCGCGGAGTGCCTGGGTCTGAATCATAATAGAAGCTTGTGCATTTCTTTTGCATTTGTGGGCATGGCGTTAATGGGTATGAGTAACGCTCTTACCTCTCACTAAGGAAGTGGGGGGATGGGAATGGAAAACCAGATGAGTACGCATTATGAATAGATGATAGGCGTTTTGATATGATATTAGCATACCATGGGATTGGGTCTTACTTTGGAGGGTATTTGGGGGGTTTGTTGTGTGTCTTTGGTGGGCTTCGATGGATATTAGATCTTTAGTTGCGAGATTCGATGTATTTTTATTTCCAAACTCTCGGGTTTGAAATTAGTGAGCGAACGGTTAGAAATATTGGGTACGCTTAGAGTCAGACTTGGTTAGTAGGAATACACTCAATGATTCTGTAGCTAAGTAGATATGGATCCTTCTTCTCTATGTGATATGACTGGTGTGAGGAAGGTTTACGTGAATTTTACATGGGTGGTGAGTGCATAGATTCTCATACTTCCGAAGGGGGAGGAGTCTCATCACTAGAATGTCGTCCCTTCTGGTGACTAATCTTCTTGCTTAGATTCATAGGCGAATCAGTAAACATCTGGTCATGTAATTTTTGTTCTCTAAGATCTATTTGAGGAGATGCGCTCAATTAGGTTTATAGAATCATAGATACGATAGATATAGCTCGCGAAGTAGTTTTTGTTGATGAATTCACAAGAGCTCTTGCCAATTTCAAGCATCGAGGTATTTCATTTTTGTATCCTTCAACGGGGATCCCCGATTCCTATGACCGAGTTACCTACCTATCTAGCATCAAGCATCTTCTACTCGTACATCGTTGGATTATTAGTATCTAAGTTAACATCCCCCTGAATATTCTCGCTTACAATCAACCCCCTAAGTAGCCCGCCCATCTCCTGTTGGGTAGGCACAGTACACTCACCAAGCTATATTAAACATTTCGTTTTACGGATCATACATCACAGATCACATTATTTTGAGACCCCGATCGTTAGAATCTTTTCATTCCCTTGCATTTCCCACACTGTTATTGATTTTCTGTCTTGCTTTCTTTGGTATACTACGTAAACTATTTGAAACCCCTGGTTGTTCTCGACTTTTCCTCTCGGTATCAATCCACCAATAGAAGGAGTAAGTAAAGAGATTGATCTTTATCTTATTTGCATGTGAATTTGGGTTTCAATTCTCGTTCCTTGTCCACTGTTTTTTCGTGTTCTTGTGTTCATTTCGCTCACTTTCCAACTTTGTAATTCAAATTCGGTCAGATTTGAATACTCAAGTACCATGGCCTTCATTCTCCATCATCTAAAATCGATGGCTCCTCCTTTGCGAAGTTCTCCAAGCCGTATATCCGACATAACCACCACCCAGAACAACGAGTCCAATGATACACTTAACAAAGAACCAACTCCAGCTTCCGGCAGGCTTCTTCTTTCTGTTCAAAATACCCTGTCCTTTTTGAGACCTACTATTTCCATTTTCAGGCTTAGGGTGCGAATCTTTGTACTTATTCTTGTGAGTGTTGGTATCGTACAAATTATTTGTGTTGACGCTGATGATATCGTGGTTATCGCTCAATTCACCAGTTTCGGCAGAAAATCCAAGATAGGCTACGGATGGAATAGTAGGTGGTTCAAAAGTTTCAAAGCAGAGTTCCCATTGATCTTCCTTCTTGTATTGGAGCTCGAGTTTGAGAGATTTGTCTTGGAAATAGGTGAGTTTGGCTTTAGTTGGGACATTTGCATTGCGGAGACCCCGTGCGGAACAGCCCATATATTCTTGATCTTTGCCATCGTTACTCTTGTCATAGGCAGTGTTGCCATCGCCGACCATGGCCATTACATAAGGAAAGACGGTTCCGGGACGATTGTTCTTGTAGGTGTCGAAGAAGATTCCAAGACCTTCGAATTTGTCAACGGAGCCGAAGACGTCGCCTTGAATTCCGCGTTGTTTGGTGAGCCACATGGCGAAACCATCACCGTGGAGGTTGCCTTGACCATGGACCTTAAATTCGACTTCGATCTGCAGATGAGTTGTGGTTAGATTGCATTGAGAAGAATGTAGGCGAATTTTATCCATACCTCCCAGTTTGTGGCCGTTAGTGGGACTCTTGAGAAAAGCCATCCTGAAGAAGATGGATGATCATATGTCAATCGTATGTACCTGTACACTCCACATCAGCCCATCTATCCCCAGCAACTTGTCCTGAACTCAGAGCGCATGCATACTTGTCTGCTCTCACAATAGTATTTCCGCCGAAATCGAACCATCTACTTTGCATATCCGAATCCAAATATGGCTAATCCAAATCCAAATCAGCAAAGTCCCCAGATCTATATAATGCGCCTCTTATTCAACTACTGACCTGATTCAGCGAATGTGTTCGAAGCTATTCCAACAAGTCAGTCAACTCTCCCCTCAATAGTAATTCAATCATCGAGCAAACATACTGGTATACTCCTAATTCCGTCCTCACTCAGCTTCGTAGTCTGCGTATCTCCAGCTGCAATGACACAAGAAGCCAGCCATAGCGCCGACAATGATTTGGGGAACCACATTGCGTCCTGTACAATCTGTCCCTATCCACAAGTATTCTTCAAGGCTTGTACTTTCACCCGATTTCAAACAATTCTTCAACTGGACGGAGGAACGAAAAAGAGTAAGGTAAAGTAGATGGAGAAAAAGAAGGAACCTTCTGCCGGAAGAATCAGAATAGGATGTTGAGAAAGGAAATAGGTTCAGGGACTACGAAGTATCGTAAATCGAATCCCGAGGCCGTCAGATTAAATTGTTAGCTGGCCTTAAGGTTTCCTATCTGTGTCTGTGTCTGTGAACAATTTGGCGTCGGGGATTTCAAGGTTAAGCTGAGATCCCTGTTATTTTGAATTGTGAGAATACCTGGGGCCTGTCTTGAGCCTGTCAGTGATTGGGGAGACTGCTGTAGCGTCCGTGACGGGTGTTTGGGGTGCTTGTGGCCCTGGAAATTAGTTCTACAGTACGGACTGGTAGTGGATATAGACGCTGTATACCCTGTAGACTCTCAACCAGGGATGATAGCTACTAGTCGGTACTTGCCTAAGGCCGAGTTGTGAATTTGATGGTCCATCGTCATGGTTTGAGATCGATTAAAAAATTGAGGTTCTAGATATTAAGTTTAAAATTCAACAACGAAAATCCAAACCTCTTCCTCATATACAATTTGAGGTTCAATCCCCTTAAAGCGCCAATTTCTACATAAAAATCTACACATACACATATAAACGCAATCATGGATTCTCTTAACAATGCATTCGCCTCCTCGGACCCAAAAGCTGCTGTGATGAATCAAGTTCGTCAGGAAGCTGCTATGACCAATGCTAGACAATTGATCGAGGTAACCTTTCTCTTTTCTCATTCCTCTAGTTTTCCTTCTACTCCTTCTTCTAGTCCCTTCCATTCCATATATTAACCGTCCACCTAGAAAGTAAACGAACACTGCTTCGAGAAATGCGTACCCAAACCTGGCGCCTCTCTCAGCAGCGGCGAAACCACTTGCTTCACCCAGTGTATGGAAAAATACATGCAAGCATGGAACACTGTGAGCAAACAATATATTGCGAGATTGCAACGAGAGTCGACTAGTGGAGGGGCGACGGGGGGTATGTTCTAGATTTTGTTTTGAGCTGGGATTCTAGAAGAGGGGTTGAGGAAGGGTGAAGGATGTTAGGAAAGAGAAAAGGTTATCACAGGAAGGAGTGATATTATTGAGCGAGAGGGGGTTATCCGACGAAGAAGTGATGAGGTGCTAGAGCATGCTGGAGCGAGATATCACAACAATGAGCCGTGATTTTGTATGGAACGCTTTTATGATGGAGTGTATTATACTCTTGTACATTATGAATGGGTCACCACGTCTCGGAATCGGAGGGCATAAAATGCAAGGAATTGGAAACAACACCACTATAAATGAAATGAAGATATTTTTGGCCCTGAGATGTGATTTGATCTGAATCCTATTTGGGTATTATATATTATGCTTCTATTGAGATGCTTTCTTCTTTGCTTCTTCCGCCTCCCTCTTTCTTGCAAGATATCTTTCCTTGGCACTCATAATATCGCCTTCGGTCTTTCGACTCTTGGAAGCTCTCTCTACTTTCTGCTTCTCTTCTTCCTCTTCCTCCAAGGCTCTTTTGGTAGCCTGTTCTAATTGTGCTTCCATCATTCGTGATTGTCGTTCGCGCATAGCTTGTTTTCCACCTCCACTTCCTACAAATGTATTGCCTTTCTTGTGATCGGGCATTGAGCTTCCACTTCTCGATGAATTTGGATTAGGTGCTGGTTTCGCTTTAGGTATTATGTTCAATCCACCCTTGAGTAATTCTCTCTTGTCAACAACTTGACCTTCGTCATTGATTGCAATATTGCCTCCCTTTTTCTCGTTGATTTCCCGTGCTATATCTGCATCAGTCTTCGTTTTTTCATCCTCCGTCACATCTTCTTGTGGGCCTTGTTTGATCCTTTCCTCGGCAGCCTTTACTATTTCAGCATGTTTCTGTTCCCCCTTCTCAAGCATGTTTTTGTAGAAACTGGTCATTCCCGTGCCTTTATTCTTTCTTTGCTCTTCCTCCTCTCTCAACCGTTCTTCTTCTTCTATGCGGCGATTCTCTTCTTGTTGTTTCTTATATGCTGATGTGACAAATTTCTCCTTATCTGCAAATTCATCTCCTTCAGCTTCTCTTTCTCTTGCAAGTTTTTTCTCCTCGGCAATCGTAGAATCGCGCTTTCGTACTGCAGCTGCTGCAATAAGATTGCTCATATACTTCGGCTTCCGTTCTTCCTCCTCATTGACTACCTTCTTCTTTGGCTTTAAGGAGTCGTAAACTGCATCGTAATCGTATATATTCGCATCAAGTTCCTCTGCAGTCTCGGCATGTTTCTTGGATGTGAGCGAACTCGAGAGGTCGCCAAACATACTTATAGGCGGCTTTTTTGAAGATTTCAAGGGTTTCGAGGTCGAGGATTTCGAAAGTTTCGAGGGTTTTGACAATGGAGCATTGTCATTTGTATCCTCATCCGAGTCATCATCACCAAAAACGTTGAAACCATTATTTAATCCCATTATGTATTTTAAGGTGGAATAGTAGAAGAATGTTGAAGAAGTGGTATTTTGTTATGTCAGGATTACAATGTGTGGTATGGGTCGCGCTTTCCATAGCTATTAAATGCCATAAGGCGACAATCACGCTAATGATCCACTCTAGCAATCGATAAGAACTTTAGCGGCATTCAATAAGATGACAAAACCGTAGGATGCGATGTTGTATATACAACCACATATCCAAGTACGCTCATTTTAGTTGTGAGGTTGTTCATATTTCAACTATACAATCAAAACTTATCAGTTTACTGCCTCAACGCATAAATTCAACTAAACTCCAATGAAGATATGACCGACTCTCATCCAAGTAAATTTCGATTCAAGAGGAAGCATAGGGAGGATCAACCATCAGGGAGCCATAGCGAAGAAAGGCGCCACCGCCATCATCATCGCTCAAAACGAAGCAGGCAATCCGTCACGAATGATGATCCATCCCTCTACGATGACACGCACCTCCCCAATACCTCTTCCAATCAGTACCTCGACCCAGATGTTGCATTCAGGGAAAGTCTATTTGATGCGATGGCTGACGATGAAGCTGCACAGTATTGGGAGGGAGTTTATGGGCAACCCATTCATACATATCCCGACGTCAAGCAAGGCCCTACTGGCGAGTTAGAACAAATGACTGACGAAGAATATACGGCATATGTTAGAGGTAAAATGTATGAGAAGACCCATCAACATTTAATAGAGGAAAAGGCTCGACGCGAAGCAGCCAAAAAAGAACGAGAACGGTTGGCTCAAGAAGGTAGGAGAGATGAGAGAGATGCTGAACGATTGCAAAGAAAGGTTGAGGAGAGTTTGAAGAGAGGCCAGGAGAGGAGATCCAAGAAAGTTTGGACTGAAAAATGGAATAACTACATTAAGAAATGGGAGGATCTTGGGAAGAATTCTTCGAAAGTTGCAGTTGCATCCATACCTTGGCCAGTCGAAAGTGGAAGTAAAAAAGATGTCAAAAAGGAGGACATCAGAAGATTTTTCTTATACGCACCAACCTCTGGGGAACCTACCGAATTACAGCTTACGAAGACCTTGAAGGTAGAAAGAGTTCGGTGGCATCCCGACAAGATCCAACAGAAGTTGGGAGGACAAGATGTTGATGAAGGGGTAATGCAAGCTGTTACCGCAGTCTTTCAAATAATCGATGGGCTGTGGTCGGAGAGCAGAATGAGTGGTCAATCTTGAACGGAGATAGATATTAATGGGACTCGGGATTATCAAAGCATAGATAGCATGGAGTTTGGGAAGAACATGAGGGGTAGTCGGAATACCACATTGCATTGCATAGGTTTTGGGACTGGGCCCCATCTCCACGGGATCTAGGCGAATCAACAAAATAGAGATGGAGTATATGCAATGAGCCTCGAGATAGTTCTCATCATATAGAGGTATCAATCTGATACTAAAATAGGGTTAGAGATTGAAAATACATCTATCTCGATGTTACATGTTATATGACGGCATATATTTGCACTCAGTTATAGCTAGACAGGTATGTATATTTACCTGGGTAATCACTGTGACGCGAATACATTATAATTGACCTTTCATCTGAAACATTGACTTACTGATTTGGTACTGGATATTGCGATAGAGGATAGACTTTACTCAAATAGAGACTGAGAGCAGAGTTTACTTGGTGAAGTAGGGCGTGTTTGGTAAGTGATGAAGCTGGCTGACGAATAATGATGATGATGGACAAGAAATACAAGATGAATCAAGATCTCCCATCTCCCTCACGTGTACACTTCCTTTGTTTGAACGATTTTGAATTTTTATTCATGATGTGAGATCTGTAAGGTCAAGACGGAGGATCCTGATATCCCCGCATTTTCATTGGTTGCATGATTTACATTGTGAGAGCAAGTAAGATCTTACTTGGTAGGCACATACTACATACATATCTACATTGGTAGCTAGCTAGCTAGCTAGTACTTGGTGCAGAATCAATCCTTTGATAGAATGGGAGGACTTCGAGATATCAGGTAGTTTGGTCAATAGCAATAATAAGCATCTAGGACTTCTGATATCAGGGAATGTCAAAGTAGATGGAAGTAATCACTCACTACCTGCCTTGCCTACCTAGTATACAGTCAACATCGTAGCAAGATCAACTCTTTCTTTCTCAGTATCTTATCACGTCGTAGGTATCATCTCTTGATTGTACTTTACGATAAACGAATTGAGAAGTGTAACCTTGGGTAACTTTAAGCATTGAGAGATAGCAGATACGAGATACTGACCTAGCAGGTATATTTACCGTCAAGGCATTGAAGGACTGGAACTGAAAGAAAGAATAAAGCGCCATCAAACAAACCATTCAGATTGAAAAACTTGGCTTCGTCTTCTTTAATATCAAGACGGTGGGAGCAGACAGTATGAAAGGCATAATCTTTGTATCTTGCCCGCTGCAGTATATTTCTGGTTGATCTTCTCCTCTTCCTTCCCAAAGAAGTGAGCGAACCATCATCCATTATCCATGATCCGATCCATCAAATCGTCAAATGATGAACCAAATATCAACCCCACCAAAGCTAACGCCATACACCGAGTGCACAGAAGACAGAGAGAGGACTCAGATATCATCATCGAGCATCGGCTAATGGTACGCAATCAAGTTAACATTGATATCAACAAGAGAAATTGAACTGAGCGGAAAGACTTTATTGAGATGGTTCTAGGAGCGAGAGAGAGTTAAACGTTTGTAGAATAATTACTCTACCTCTCTCTATATTTCTTTACCTTTACCTTACCTTTACTTGTTAATGGTCAATGGTGGTGGTCATATTCCAACCTCCCTCCTCCTCCTCCTCCTCCTCCTCCTCCTAGGTAACTTCTAACCAACTGTCGGAATTCAATTCCATATTGGCAATTTCCCCTCACATTATTATCATTATTCATTCTGTGCCTATCACTCTCACTATCGCCATTACTGCCTTTCCCACCATCACCACCACCACCACCACCACCACCACCACCACCACCACCACTCCGTAATCATCACGACCATCTTCTTACATTATCACACACATCACACCCATTACTACCCACTACTACCCACTACTTACTACCTCCTACCTACAATACCCCAACCCAACACAACCCACCAACCTCCTCCAAATCCCAAATCAATCTTCCCCCCTCCCCTCCCCCTCAAAATACATCAATTCTTATTAATTCATGTATCATTATCATTAAACCTCAATATTCTCAATTGAATTCCTTTTGGTATAATTATCCCACTCATACCGATATTTTCCAACCCTTAATTCACTCTAATATTGTATCATTCCAATCAATTGGTGCTCTTTGTCGCAACGGACACAGTTCATATTTACAACTACAACGATCCGCATCCTACGAAGCTTAGCTACTCAAAAAGACGAGCAACTTGCAACTCCTTCCTTTCGCTCACGAAGACTCCAAGAGAATCGAGAAAAGAAACTAAAAATTGTTAATTTATAACACATCTTCCTCCCTTCCTTTCTAGGTACCCGGTAATTAAACAACATACACCCTTTGATTTTCCCCAATTAGGCTTGTCTGTCAAGACTGCTCTTGGGGTAACCTTACCACCTACCACCTACCCATCTACCTTACATATCATCCTGCATTCGGCCTACACACCCGCGGCCCTGCTTTCTGCTGATTGTCGATCTATCAAACTCGACATCCAGCAACCTACCATTTTCATTCTATGCCGACACTCGGTTTTCTGAAGAAGAAACGGACGAAGGAGTCTCCGGCTATAACCTCTCCAACATCCAGTCAAGCCACAACCAGTCCGACAACCCCCACATCATCAAGAGGCTTCGATAATTCGATAGCTTCCGTCTCGACCCAATCGACTTTACCCCAATCCCACGAGCACGAGGTTCTCCAAACTACAACCTCTCGCACAACAGACGACCAACCGACTGCCGTGGGCAAAAAAGCCTCAATGACACACGGAATAACTCCCCAGCAGCAATCTGCGCAAATCCATTCCGATCAACAGCAGCACCGTCAAAACTCTCCCAGTATTAGCAACTTGATTCATCCACCACAGCATGACGGCGCGAGCCAGTCATATCCAACCCCACCAGCTTCTTCACAACCTTCACTACATCCTGTAGCTGCTAACACCAGCACACTTCCGATGGACTCCTCACAGCGACAATCGCAGCAACCACAACAGCAGCCACAGATTAGACAAACCAAGGGCAAATATTCTTTGACAGATTTTGATATTCAGCGCACATTGGGCACTGGAAGTTTTGGACGAGTTCATCTAGTTCGGTCAAAGCACAATCAGCGATACTATGCCGTCAAAGTATTAAAGAAGGCGCAGGTGCACAAGATGAAGCAGGTCGAACATACCAATGATGAGAGAAAGATGTTGCAAGAAGTCAAGCATCCATTCCTCATCACTCTATGGGGTACTTTTCAAGACTCGAAGAATTTATACATGGTGATGGATTTTGTAGAGGGGGGTGAACTATTCTCTTTACTGCGAAAGTCACAAGTAAGTTCGATGACACTGACTCCGTGAAAGACACTAATCATTCAATTCTAGCGATTTCCCAATCCAGTAGCCAAATTCTATGCTGCTGAAGTTACATTGGCTTTAGAATACCTCCATTCAAAACATATCATTTATCGAGATTTGAAACCAGAGAATTTACTACTTGATAGACACGGACATCTCAAGATCACTGACTTTGGATTTGCAAAGAAAGTCCCAGATATTACATGGACATTGTGTGGTACCCCAGATTACTTAGCACCAGAAGTAGTCTCGAGTAAGGGTTATAATAAATCCGTAGATTGGTAAGTTTTAGCCTCAACATCCCTAATCCACATTACTTCTCCCTAGAGCGAAGCGAAAAGGCCTCCACGGCAGTGGCCCAGCGGAGCGTCATCCATCAGATCATTCTCATTATATGTTTCCTTTTATGGGGCCAAGCCCCCAAACCCCCGTCTTCGCTGCGCTCAATTGAACCATCTTGTCCTAGAAGGTTGTATCATCCAACTAATATGAATCAGGTGGTCCCTTGGTATATTAATTTTCGAAATGCTTTGTGGTTTTACACCATTTTGGGATGGTGGCTCTCCCATGAAAATCTATGAGAATATTCTTAAAGGGAGGGTCAAGTATCCTCCCTATATTCACCCAGATGCACAGGACTTATTGCAAAGATTGATCACAGCAGATCTCACCAAGCGTCTTGGTAACTTACATGGTGGTTCTGAGGATGTCAAAAATCATCAATGGTTCGCTGAAGTAACTTGGGAAAGGCTGTCCAAAAAGGATATCGATGCACCTTATGTGCCTCCTGTCAAGGCTGGAGTTGGAGACGCCAGCCAATTTGATAAGTACCCTGAAGAAACGGAGATATATGGTCAAGGTGGGCCCGATGAGTAAGTGAATCTCTTGACCTTCTTCAAACTTAACTAATGAATATTAGATTTGGTCACCTATTCGTCGATTTTTAAACAAAAGTTTCAACTCGGAGTCTCGGGGCTAGGCTACTTGTTCAAGAAGGCTATATTTCTTTTGTACTTTGCAGTTTAAGCTATTCTTCTGCACATATATTACAGTACGGGCAAGATAACCTTACGTCACATCATCTCTTTTTGTTTCACAGGCATTGGATTGGAATATTAGGTGGTTTACTCTGGCTTGTTCACAGCTCTTTGGTGATGGGTGGCGGTAAGGTGTTGGTATGGTCGGTATCGTACGATGGAACAGACGTGGGATTTTCATCGATTAGTTTTTTGGCACTCTGAACGTGATGTCATTCATGTTCAAGAAAGAGGTATGGTTATCAATATGCATGGATGAATGGGTTTTACGACGATGTTCATGCCCCGTTGTATGGAATGCAATGAAACCAAAACGGGTGTGTATGGTGTGAATGATGGAACTTAAGATATCAGTTATGTGTTCGAAGGGAAGTGAAGGCGCGGGGGAAGGGGAGGAGAAAAAAGGAAGGATCATAAATCCGATTCGTATTAGTGAGAATAGGATATTGTATTCTTCTGGGGCTTTGTGTGTGTGTGTGTGTGTGTTGTATGCGAGTTGTACTGTGAGCTAGAATGATTGGGTGGGGTGAAGTGAGCGATGATTGCGCGAGCGGTTCAATATTCGGAATTTAGCGAGACAGTGAGAGCTCGTAGCTTAAACTCGAGTGAGATATAAGATT